ACAGGACAAAATGGAAATCTAATAAAAAGGCGTTCAAAGTGGGACCCACGTAAACCGGCCCCGTGCCCACGTTCCACGGAAAGAAAGCCATCTATAAACGTTAGGCTCCGCGTTAAAGAGTCAGCACTTCTAAATGCAAGCAAGGTGTAGACATGTGCTGACACCAGTCTCCAATGTCACAGCGACCCAAAAAAAAAGCTGACAGGCAGCAAAGCCAGAGGAACACATTGTGCCTGGCGGGCCTGGAGAGGAGCTGATGAAGAGGCGCGCCGTCTCCGAGGTGCTGACTCTGGCCGACCTGGGAGCGTTCCACCGATGAAGGTCACTGGGTGTGTGGGTGTGGGCGGAATCGAAATCGCTGAATGGGAGTTTATGGTTGCAACCCCCAGATTGGGTTTTTTTTTGTCGTTGTTCAACCTGGACCCACAATCTCCCGCTTTGCGTGCCCCGTTTGCATCTTCGTCAGTTGTTTCAATTTGACACGTGACACAGATTCACGCTAGAATGCAGAAGTGCTCATTGACGAGAACTTCAGGTCGGTTCTGGACAGCCCGACAATGAGACGGAGGACCTTCTGTGTGGAGCCGGCCCACTCCAGAGGACAGTGCTTAACCAGATATATTATAACTATGTGAGACCTTCAGAAGCGTAGTGTTTTGTTTTTAGTTCTGCAGTTGGTGAGTCACTTTGTCTCGTGCATCACGTCAGAGGAGCGAAGCTCTTAAAACACACTTTTAAACGTGTATTCGGTCCTAAAACAGAGAAGTACTTTATACTTTTATCTGCTCTCTTAAAATAACTCACGCTCGATTGTGGTTTCCACGTTTCACAGTAAAGCCAGTTTACTAATATTTCATGAGTCACTTGCGTCACGCCCAGTTTGTTTGAGAAGGTTACTTGGAAACAATGAACACACACACACACACACACACACACACACACACACAGAGATAACCGAGCTCTTGCTAGCACTATTCTGCACGGGTCATCCAGCATGGAGGCCATGCCCAAACCGATCCCCATCCCCCCCCTGCTCCGCTCTGCTCCAGTGAGTCCGAGGCGAGGCGTGGGCGAGGTCCACTCGCCCCACTGATCATTGCCGTTGCCTTGGCGACAGAGCGACCCGGGCCCTCCAGCGGCCCACTGCTCCACCGTCAGAAAAGGAGGTCGCGGGGAGTCAGATTAATGCAGACGCAGAGGTAAGTGGCGGAGGGTTGGGCTTACTCAATCTCCGGGTTTGCCGGTGTGGACATCATGTTTACGCCACTGGAAGGCGTTACGGGAGGAGCGCGCAAAGCGGAACCAAACATTCCGTGTAAAAAAAAGGCAACAAACATCGGATCGGTGACTTCGTGTCTGCGTGACGCTGTAACCTCATTCTGTCGCCGGCGGGAACGGACGCACAGCGGATCAGACGGCAGCGTCACAGGAACCCAGAGAGAGAGAGATGGAGGCCGATGGGGGGGGAAAGACCGGAGAAGTCAAGCGTGTCGGGGGAGGTGAAAGACCGCCGAGCGACCCAGACGCGAGCGATGACGCCCGCCTCCCTTTTTCCCACGCAGGACCTCTCCGTGTGTGTGTGTCACCAAGAGGAAGGACCCACTTTCTCTTTTGTTTATGCGGGAATGTGGGACGCAGTGACGGGCCGGCTTTTCATCCACAGCAGAGGTCCCCTGTGGCTTCCTCCACACAACCTCTCACACTGAGTGTGTGTGTGTGTGTGTCAGCCCACCGGGCCTCCCACAGGCAGCCCGGGTGCTGGATAACACGAGGCAAAGAGATAAACCTAATGAAGCTAATGGAAGACCATAAAAACATGCATGGTACGTTCGCGTTCTCCTTTGTAGCTACAATCTGCGCTGCAAGTTTAAACGCGACCAAATGCAACGCAATTCATTTCCTGAATTACAATAATCCCAGAGGTGTAACTTCCGTTTTCTTGGGGGGGGAGTTTCCCTTCATGAGAAAAGTACATAAGTTTGGGGCGAGTCGGCCTTCCTGCAGCACGGAGACAAGCAGCGGAGCAGAAAAAGAAACATCCTATTCCTGCTTTGATGCATTTCTAAGCCCACAGGAACGCTGCACAATGACTTGAAACCACAGCCGAGAGGAAAGCACCATTGTGTCGTTGATCCTCCAGTTTCATTTGAAACCAGATGGAACTCACGCGGCTGCATTCGTCCCTCCGGCTGAGACTCGCCAGGAGGAAGCAGCGGCGAGCGGAAGATGTGCGCGGTGACATTCAGCGACTGGAGCTTGGACACACTCTGTAACATCTTGAGTTACCGTTAAAACCGCTTGTATCTTTTGCGAAGAAAAAATAAATAAAGAGTCTGCATACAAGTTAATAAACGCGTTTGCTGCTGTGGTTTTTATTGGCGGTATTTATTGAAATGATTTCCTCTACCTTAAAATTGCAAGATTACTTTTATCTAAGCTTCACAGATTTTAATTTAATTTAGAAATATATCATGCTGCGGAGATGTCGCTTATTTAATGAAACAAGATTACCTTCTCTAAGTTTAGTTTTTTTTTTGTTGCTGCTGAAGCTGAAGACGCGAGCGGGAAGTCCCCCCCCTGAGGGCCGGACCGTCCCATTTGTGGGACCGCCTGGTTCGGTCAGAACCCAGAAGGACCCCCTGTCCAGGTCGACCGCAGGAGGCCGGGTCCTCCGGATGGATGCAGACGGCGCGCCCGATTCTTTGCTGGTGGATTGTTCCTGAGAAGCAGCCTGTTCTTTGAAGCAAATAAACCAGCTATTAATATCATGCAGGAATTAAAAGAATAATGGAGGTCTGTTGCGTAACAAGCGAGCGGTCCGGTGAATTCAGGGCCTCGTGCAGTTGTCCCTTCAGGAGGAACAATGTGAACAACAAGTTCTTGAGGACCGCGGTTGAGTTTGACGCCGGCCAGCAGCACAGACCTGTTTGACCAAATACCAGGACCAGCAGTCCACCCACATCCGGAGAAACCGACTAACTAACTCACTCGAGTGCATTCCCATCACGCCGCTCCGTCACCAGTGAGGCGCTCGCCTGAAAAACACTCACACGCCCGGTTCAAAGATTTGAGCGGGCGCCTTTAAAGCCGTTTGGCAGCCAGGAGAGTATGCGAGGGGGGGGTGTTAAAGGTCAACAGGCGTTATTGCAGGGCGGATCCCCCCCCCCCCCTCGGCTCACGTGGACAACGTCAACGCGTCATGTCTCAGGCGGTCTTTGGCTGGGACCGGGTTGAGAAGCCTGGAAAAAGCAGTCCCCGTTAGACCGCATGAGACACAGCGCTGCTCCCTTCAGAACTGAAGACGTTGCTCCCCTCCCACATGTGGTGACAAATTTAATTACCTCCTCTGAGCTCCATACCCCCCCCCGACATGGCCCTACCAGCCCCCCCCCCCCAGTTCCTTCTCCTACACTCCTCTCCCAGTGCCACGTTTGGATGGACCAAGAATATATATTAAACTGTGAAAGGGTATGAAATACAACGTTCCAGCTCAAGCAGCCGGTCCGTTCTCCTCTCGGGACACCGAACATATTCATCCTCTTCTCCTTGTTCCCGTCTGAGTATCAGGCAGTCGGGCAGATGCTGTTCGTTGAACGCCCGTCCCCTGAATGCCCGAGAGGAGACCCCCGGCATCTCCACAGCGTCAGATAAAGCCACACCGAAGACCTCCCGACATGTGCCACTACGTAGATCTGTGCCGGGGGGAAGAATCTTCTTACTGGTCCCGTAGATTCTTATCCGAGCAAACATTTGGGTGGGAATCCAATTTATGTAATAGCAGATTAGGATCAATGTGGTTCTGCGTTAATATTGATTGACATCCGAGGCCACGTCAACAGTAGTCCTGTTTCCCCCCCTTGGACTCGTTCGGAGCACCAATGCCAATGCTTTGGTTTTAACATGGAATAATGAGTGCGCGTTGTCGTCAGCGCTGATCCCCCAGAGCCAAGAGCCAGAGCCTCGGGGGCATCGGGAGAAACAGCAGCTTAGAGCGCCGCTGGACCGCCAAACACCACCCAGAAAAAAATGTGGGTGTTTCTGGATTACGGGCTCCTCGGCTCATGCGCCTTTCCAACCTTTTGTATTGTTCACCTTCACAGTCCTGTCCGATGGAGAACATGTGACCTGTGACGTTGCTGGCTGTGACCTTGTATGTGCTACTGCCTTTCCCTGTAAAGGTGGGAATGAGCAAGTTGAGACTGGGTGGAGGGTTTTTTTCTTTTTTCTACCCCACCATGAACAGAATGCATTTCCACATAGCGACTGAGCCCACGTGCAAGCGAAGTGAGGCTTAGTGTCCCCCTGCTCCATCAGGCCGTTTTCATCCCCGCTTGAAGCTTTCAGCCGCGCATTTAGGTCTTAACGCGGGGACATTGGCTTCTGGTCCCACGCCATGCGTTTCACGGCGGACACGACCGCTCGCCGACCACAACAATCAGTGGAAGACACAAAAATACCCCCCCCTCCCCCGTAAAAGCTATTAAGATAAGTCCTCTTCCTTAAGGACCACGAGGGCAGCGACCTAAATCTGTACACATTCAAATGAATGGGAAGCACGGACAGAAGACGCCTCCGTGTGTGTGTGTGTGTGTCATAATCACCCTAATCAAGACATTACAGTAAGGTTAAGCCCCCCCCCCCCCCCTTAATCCTTCACAGTGATTGGTCAACATATGTTGCCAGCACGATCACATCCTAATATCTACGAGGAGAGGAATTGATGTGTCTTGCGCAATCACACAGAAAAGAAATCAACATTTCTAAGAGGATTCAAAGGGGGAACACGGTGAATCGTATCTGGAGATCTTTCAACAAAACCAACAAAAGTGTTGGTCTCCTCCATGGAGATAACATCAAAGAAGGAATTTCACCCTCGTTTAAAGACAGGCCTGAACGGTTGGGCTGTCGGACATGGTCTCCTGGGCCGGTGTCAAGTCTCCCTGTTGGTTACCACGAACGCCAGATGTTTCTCCCGGTGGGAGGGACAGGGTTGCACTCACCATTGAGTCCATTTGGGGTGCTCCTGTGATGGTGCGGCGCTGACAGGTCGTCCATGGACCTCCTCGTGGTGGCGCCCTACTTGCCGTTCTTGTGTTTGTGGTTGTGGTGATCGGGGCTGCCGGCACTACCTGCGCTGGACGTGCTGCTCCCGTCCCCGACGTCCCTTACGGTCCCGGTGCCGCCGTTCAGGTTGCTCAAACTGGACTGACTGTCTATGGAGCTCCTGGAACCCGCTCCATTTCTCTCCTCGTCCAGCATGAAGATGATCTCCTTCAGCTCGGCGTTCTCCCTCAGCACGTCGTCCTGGTTGGCCTCCAGCTCCTTCAGCTTCATCATGTAGGTGCCCACCTCCTTCCACATGGCGCTGGCTGTGTGACGGCCGAAGCGTTGCCACTCGCGGGACAGCTTCTTCCCCTTCTGCCGGTCGTCGTCCAGGAAGCAGCAGAGCTCCCGGAGCTCTTGGTTGTCGTCCTGCAGCTTCTGGTTGATCTCCTTCAGGCTGCGGATTTCGTGCAGGTGCACCTGCAGCCGCCGGTTGACGTCTTTCATCATGTTGCCGTGTTCCAGCATCAGGTTCATCTTCTCGCCGTCCGCCCTCCGGAACCTGCGCAGCAGCTCCTCTCGGCTGCAGCGCAGCAGCTCGTCGGCGGCGGCGGCGGCGGGCTGGCCGAGGTCCCCCTGCCGCCCGTCGGACGGGCTGCCGGCCATGTCTGTCCCCCGGGCGAAGAGGAGGCTCGCTTGGTGTAAACCGGCGGCTCGAAGACAACCGCGACGAGTGGTTTTCAACCAAGCCGGAGCTGCGGGGTCGAATTGCAACGAGAGTACATCGTGCAGAATATCGTTGTAAGTGTCGTTACGGCTTCTCTTCAACGGGCCGATAATGAACAACGGAATAGGAAAAAAAAAAGAGGATAAATGTATTTTGGGGATCAACCGCCGGGCGCTGATATTCCGTCAATAGCGGATGCTCGGGGTTAGAAATCGATTACCGGGGATTTTTTTCATCAGGTCCGTTCAGCACAGCGCGCCGCGTCCTCTGGACATCACCCCGTCCACGGCAAACAGAGACAGACAGCCCGACGCACCAATAAGTCCCAGCTGGCAAAACCCGGACCTGAGCTGCGGGGTGAAGCGCTGCTCCGGATAAGCCTCTTTGCTGGGCTCGAGCCTTTCCTCTCAGACCGCTCGGGATTAGCGGCGGACCTCCTCCTTCTGCTCCCGACGCTCGGGTTTGAAATCATTCCAAAGCGATTTGGGCCGACGTGGCCAATCAAGACGTGAGGGAGGGGCGGGGCAAAAGGCAGAGCCATAGATGTGTACACAAAGGCTAGAAGTCTCCTCCGCGTTGCCGTCCAACGGAGTCGGACGTCCGCACACGGCGGCCATCTTGCTACGGTGAGCTCGCTCGCCCATAACACTGTGTTGGTAGTGGTACATGTACTTTTTAAATAACCATAACTTGCTCAATTTTCTAGGGATTCTTATACGGTTTGGTTTTTTATAATCGTCAGAGATGTCGTTATCACACTGCACACTTATGAATAACTATGTTATGTTATAAAATAGAATAATGTTCTAAGATAGGTACAAGATTTCATTCCCTTTACAAATATATATCAAGAAATGCATGTTGTCCCCATCATGTACATTGATTGAGATGTATTTATGACACGATGACATGATGATTTATGATACATATGAATCATTATAATTATAACCGTGAGTTTTAATATGAAAATTACATTAAACAGAACAGATAGGTGCAATAAATACACACATGCACAATGTATTTATGTTAAATTAATATATAGGCTACCAAAACTCAGCCTACAGAATGGCAACATGAGATATATGTGTACTTTATAATAGTAATAATATAAATAAAATATGTTTGTATGCTTATATATTGATTTAACATAAATACATTGTGCATGTGTATATTTATTGCACCTACCTGTTCTGATTAAAGCTCGTGGTTAAAATTATAATTATTCATATTCTTATGCAGTGTCATTTCAATATGCAGCATTTCCTGATGTATACTTGTGAGGGAAATCTTGTTCCTATTTTAGAACATTATTCTATTTTACATAATGATTCATAAGTATGCAGTGCCATAACTACATCTCTGACGTTGACAAACCAAACCCTTTAAAAATCGTTGAAAATTGAGCAAGTTAAGGTTATTTTAAATGTACATGTACCACTACAAACACCATGTTATGGGTGAGCGAGCTCACTGTAGCAAGATGGCGGCCATGTGCGGACGTTCTAGACTCCGCCGAAAGACATCTAGCCTTTATGTATATCTATGCGTAGAACGGCCTACGAGGCTCAGGCTCTTAAAGTGACAGTACAACGAGGGACATCTTATTCAATGTATTGTTCACCTCTTGTTAATAACAACGCGTTGGTTGTAATACTAATACTGATTTTATCTACAGCTGTTTGTATGTATAAATCCCGGTAAATGGCTTGGAGAAATGGCACATTCTTTCGTTTTAATGCTGAGGAAAAAGTAGTTTATGATGCTTTTGAATGTCTCTGCATGGTCACAGTGCCCCCATGTGTACAACAACAAAGAATTCAAATTAAAGAATTGAATTGATTATATTTAGTTTATTTAAGTGTAAATAATAGCAGATTACACATTTCTCATAATCTAATGTGAAATGAAGAAATATTCGTGGTAAAGGCGTTGTAAAAAGTGTTTACACATATATAGGTATAATGTCTTAGTTCAATTAATGTGCTTCTGATTCTCAAGAAGTTGTTATTGTAAATTTCCCATTCCCTCCTCATTATTAGGCATAATCATCATCTTCACCACTGATTTGTGGATATACGTTTGAACACTTTATACTCTATTGTTTTACGTTACTAAAACAAGTGCACCTGATCCTATCCACAACTGTACAGCATAAGGCAGCAGAAAATGTAGCCTAGTCGAAGGCTATTCCAAGCAACTGAAGATCCCCAATTTCACCACATGAACCCTTATGGAACGTGCTTTTAATAAAAATGAAGGGTATTTGACCACCTATTTGTTGTGATCCCTGTGTCTGACTGAACACACAACTCCACTCTTTGGCCTGAGCGTGCCGCAGTCCTCAAGGTCAAAGGTCTGTCCAGGCAAAAGACTGAAGTCAAACCTCTGGACCAGCTTGGCCATAAACACTTTAGCCTCCATCTGCAATAGACCCACAGATTATTGAGTTAGTTTGCATGTGTGTTTTGTGTGTGTTGATTATATATGACCGTCACCACCCACCTGAGCAAAGTTCTTGCCAAGGCACGCCCGTGGGCCGAGGGCAAAGGGGTAGTAGCAGAAATAAGGCCTTGTGAAACGGACAAGAGACGGCCTCCATTAATGCCCCAATGATCGGTGGTCGGTCATGTTATTGACATTGTGTTAACAACGTATGCCTCTCACTTGGGAGCATCTGGGTGAAATCTGTCCGGGTCAAAGGTCAGCGGGTCCTTGAAGAATTTATCCATTCTCCCAGTCACATAGGAACTGAACTGCATTTTAGAAGAATGAATGAACATCTTTTAACATGTACTTTTTTTGTTTTGCTACATCAGTATTCTTTTAGTACCAATCAAAAGTTTGGACACATTGTCTCATTCAATTCAATGAGTAAGTGTGTACAAACGTTTGACTGGTACCGTGTGTAAAGTTAAGACAAATCACTGTCCGTTAAAGAGTTTTTACACATCAGTTCAATCTTATCCAGATCAAAAGTGCACGACTCACAAAACATGTGACTCCACCGGGTATGTGGATCCCGTCAATCACAATGTCCTGCAGTACATCCCGAGAGGTGCCTGGAGCCGTTGGGTAAATCCTCAGAGTCTCTTTAAGGACCTGGGGAGGATGTTACAGCAAGAGGTGCACACATTGGTTATTCACTTAACAATTTGTTGGATTTGAGCTCATCAAAGCAGAATTGCAAAAAGGAAGTCTTGGTTTTTCTGGTCATCCAAAGACTTATATCTAAGTCACGGAATGAATAAATCAATGCATAACAGAGTAAGTTGCACAGTGGTTTCACGACATGCTTCACTAAACCATCATATGCCAACGTGATGATATTTACCTGTGAGAGGTAGACCAGTTTTCCCAGATCGTCACAAGTGATGTCCTGTTTCATCCCGATGACATCATCCACCTCTTTCTTCACTCTGACAAATAGAATCACAACTCATGTCATGGCATTGGGTTTTTGTTTAGTGGATTTCTGCATTTATTTTGTATTTTTCCAACCTCTTTGCATGTTTTCCCGCCATTGTGATGTCCTGCTAGCCCCTGATTGAATGCTCCTGTCTCGACCCCTGCGCCTCCCCGGTGTGTTTGAACCCTGATTGTCCCCGTTTGTCTGGCTTTGTCCGTTGTGTTCCCTGTTGCACTACTTCGCTCTGCTCTGTATTATGCGTTTTGTTTTTGGACTTTTCCCCGCGTCTCACTGCATTCGGGTCTTCCACCGCCCCCGACAGCTGAAGACACTATCGTTCAGAAGCTACGTCACTCAACTGTTCAGCGTTAAACATTATCAGTTCATACTTCTCCAGAACATCAGGCAGTCTTGTCAGTTCCATGATGCAAAAAGCCAGTAGATTAGCTGTTGTTTCGTGGCCTAAAATGACAGAAAACAACCTTCAAATGGAGCAAATGTGGATCAACGACACACAGTGAAGAGACATTTGTCTTTATCTCTGAGCCAAAAAGTGGAGCTTCAAAGAAAAGTTCATGTAAAAAGACAATGAGTGAAGGACTTAAAAGCAATTGTTATTAATAATAACAATGGCAGATAGTGTTTACCAAAGAGCATATGAATTATTGTAAATAACTAAAATAACTATGTCAATATAATTCAAAAGTAATAGTGAACTCCAAATCTCAACACTTCATACTGGTATGATTCTGCGTAAAGGGGAGATTTCTATTTGAATTTTAGTTTTCGCTGCTGCAGATCCCAGCGTCCGGCTTGTGGAGCCTTTCACACTTAAAAGCAGAAACAACAAGAACTCACCCGCAATGAAAAACGTCATGAAATTGTCCAACATTAACTCTTCGTCTTCTTCAGTCATGATTTCCTCTGGAATAATAAGAAATTGAAGTTGAACAGCTAAACCCGCATTCTTAATATATAAATCTACCCTCTAACTGCCACAACGGAGCCGTTTCATTTTGGAGAGGTGACCTTTGACAGCGGATTTGATGATCTGGGTGAGGATGTCGTTGGGGACGTCGTCTCCGCTCTCCATGGCCGTCTTTCTGTCCTTGATCCACTGAGCTCCAGTTGTGCGCAGCAGTCGGCAAGCTTCCCTCACATCTTCGATGAACGATCTGTTCTTTGGGTTGTACTGAAAAATGGCGCAGTTAAGAACAGTGTCGCCACACTTACTTCATACGAACTTGCCAAGTCTTACGGCGAAGAAGTTGTCTCGGACGGAGAAGACCATCCCTTTCAGACATGTCTGGACAGCTTTGGGGAAACGTGACCGATCCTTAAGCAGGTCCAGATCCACCCCGAAAGCGACCTAAGGGTTATCAGGGAACCAACGTGGATTCAATGATTTTCTGTCTTAAGATCTGGTGTCACATGCAAGGAAAACCGTACGATGTCGCTCTTGTCGCGGATGGTGAGAACCTAGGCGATGAGGCACAATACCTTAGCAATGACATCGAGGGTGAGAAAGTTGACGAGCTGGAGCATGCCGGCCTCCGTCTGGTTATCCGCGACGTCCGACAGTTTAGACATCAGTCTCTCTACTCTCTCATTGAAGGTGCCGATCAGCCCTCGCAAATACCTGTAGACACCGGAAGTTATAGACAACGCTGTCGCAAAGGGAGCGAGAGAGAGACCCACAATCTAAACAGAGCTGCGAACTCCGTCGTGACTCGTCGTGAAACTTACAAACTACTAAATGCGGGGTCCATGATCCGGCGCTGTTTGTACCACTGCTCATGGTCCTGTGCTGTAACCAGGCCGTTACCTAGGAACCTTGAAAAAAGAGCCACACTTTCACTTAGAAAGGCATGGTTGGAAAAGATTTGACATATCAAAACAGCAAAGTAAACTAACTAAGTTCCTGGGCCTCGAAAGTGTACCGACAAAACGCAGGCCAAATCTACACTTATTATTATTATCATTGCTTGTGGTTCCTCAGCCTGACAACTGTGAAGACTCAACTAATCCAACATCTTTTAAACTACCTTTGACCAAACAGGTTGAAGATTTTTCGGTAGAAAAATCGGTCCTTGGGATACTTTTGGGACATCAGGATCTCCTGAAACAGAGTCATCAAAGGGCCCAACATTAACATTGCAAAACATTGTCAGGATCCATCTCTAGACTTCAAAAAGCAGAATACTGCTGCCTGGTTATTATTTTGCAAGAGTCTCGACCGAATCAGGGACATCCATGCATCTGTGAACTTCGATACTGTTGAGCAACGCTGCAGCAAATCACAGTTACATAAGTGCTATTGAGAGGTGCGGGTGTTTACCTTTGTTCCCTCTGGGCAGCTCACGAGGATGACGACATAATGCAGGAAGTTTTGCCTGCAGACGGGCCCGTACTTCTCAGCCCTGTAAATAACATCTTCATTATGCTTTTGGCAGCATGACGGTTAATAGAGTTTGAGGACTTGATGTTGATCGGAACTTGCATGTTTCAATTCCCATTCTTTTGTCATTCTTTTATCCCATTGTTGTAAATGACTGTAGAAGTAATTATATGGAAAGACTGCAATACGATCAGTTTTGTTGCAAAAACCAGCAGAATCCTGCTTAAATAAAACGAATGAACTGACCTGATACAATTGTCAATACAAGGGCCGTTCGCAGGAAACATTCAGGTGCCACCGAGGGGCCTCATAATGACGTTATATCACTTATACCTGTCCAATATGCATCCATCGCTTTTGCTTTGAGTTACCATTCCAGGAACCTGTCGTGTATGATGTCGCCATCCCGCATCGCCCTCGCGTAGGTTGCTGAATGTCCGAAGAGAAAACTGTGGGGGGGGGGGTTGAAAACCCAAAGTTAAAAGTTATGTCAAAAGCCAAGCATTGTAGGTGTACGAGAGCAGTCAGTGTTAGCCCACTTTAACGTGCGGTAAGGCCCACGTCACTCACCTGTCCCTCGGTGGCCCAGGTATGTGGTCATACTTCATGTGGATGTGCTGCACATACAGGCAGTAACCAAGACACAATATCAAAACCAAAAGGAGGAGGCACGCGGCGGTCCAACTCAGAGACGCGGGGAAAAGAGCCATTTGGGTCCGAGCGTGTTCCTCGCGGGGTCGCTGGTTCTTCTCGTGTTCCGGTGGCTGCTTCGTTTGTATCGCGCGTGAGGCGGATGTGTGAAGTGGGCGGAGCCTCGCGGGACCCGCGTCGAAGAACCAGAAAATAAACGTTCGGTTAATCGCTTCGCTCTCGCACATTTACCGATGTGAGCGGAGCGCAAATGGGTCGGTCGACTAGGCTCTTCTGCCTTCCACGGCTTCGGGGTGTTCATGAGCAGGTGTTCTATTAAAGATATTGCAGAGGATGTGACATCGGCTTCATTTATCTGGTCGGGTCGCAGTTCTCCTTCTTTGAGCTGTATAGACATGTCTCACATATACTAGGATTAACGAGTTATGATACACGTATTAGACGTATTAAGCGTTCTGAAACGCGTATATTGACGTGTGTCTTGAACAGGCATCGGTACCTACCACCTACTGTGTCTTTTGTTGTTGTCCTCGCGTAGTGTAACTATATTTTAACCACATGTTGGCGAAGGTTTTGGTAATATCACCGAAAGATGTGTGTTTGTAGGTGAGGTAGGTATACATAAAGCGTTTTATTCAATCGCTGCACCATGACGGGCTCCATAGCTCAGTGGTTAGAGCACTGGTCTTGTAAACCAGGGGTCGCGAGTTCGATCCTCGCTGGGGCCTCGTGTGTGGAACATTTTTCGGCAGTTATCTTATGTTGATATTTCCTTGATTCCAGTCGACAATGTGGTGAATTAAATTAAATTAGTTTTTATGTCGGGCCAGGTATATGTTCAAAGTTGCTGTTAGGATCATCATCAAATCATTGACATATTTCTAAAGATAACTGTAGGGTTCCAATGTCAATTGTGTAAAATAAATATCTGCTGTCAGGTTTGTACAACGTGCCTAGAAGGCTGAGCTATGTGAAACTAAATAAAATATGTGTATGTGTTATGCACCCACTGCAACTTGTAAACTTTGTTCTCAACTTTGAATCCCATTATTATTTCTTCATCCGCAAAGTTCATCCTTCGGCAGTCTGTTTCAGCATGAAACAGCAAGGGAAATCCTCCATGATTAAAAATAGTACTAATGATGCCGAGCGGAGAATATAACTACGTAGATAGATGCACTTCACACATCAGATCCCACATAATACTCCCTTTATACAATTACACTCATCTCCAGAAGCACTGAAATAGCAGTAATGGTTTGAGTCAACACAGAATCCCACACAGGATTAGGAAAGCAATGCGTTCAGAAGTGATCGGCTAAGTGATGCAGATGGACATTGTGAATCAAATGAGCACCTATGTTTGCTTGTGTAAATATTCATTTATCACATTCAGCAGTGTTAAAAAGGGATAAAAGGCCCCAGCAAAGTAAGCATGCAAGGAAAAACATCAGATTTAGAGTCAGTCATTTTTTCAAGCTGCATAAAGTGACGCACTTTCTATACAGAATCTTATTTATTTAGCATATACATTAATCCATATCATACAATGGTATTTCTGACTGATTCTAGCTCATTCAGGACTCAATGTGTCCTGTGATAAAAGTGATGTAACCCAGAAAATCAATTCATCAAACAATGCATACATAACAGTATTAGTTAGTAAAATGTAATTGGCAACAATTTTGATAATATATTTACTGGTACCAACTTTTTCTGTGATGATCATCATAAAATGTTTGGGTTTTGAACTTTTGGGGGGCAAACCTTTTTTGAAATGAGCCTTAGGAAAATGCAATATTTTACTATGTTACATTTTGTTTAACAAACAATTTGTCAAACATTTTGTAGAGGATCTGTAGAGGAATTTCTTAGTTACAGGCTTACAACAACTGTCATTCTAGAATTGAAATGGAGAAGGCTATCCATTTAGAAGCTTACCTTTTTCAATGCAACTACTGATTAGCAGATACATTTTTCAGAATGTGACAAAATAAATGTCTCGAATATGAAGCAGTTTTGTTCTGATTAAGATTGCAAACAAATCTTGGTATCTTAACTCTGTAATTTGCGATGTATAGAACCGCTGCAGGTCGACCGCTCCTTGAGGTATGTGTACCTAGTTGTGGTGGCCAGCAGGGAGGGCTTTTTCCTTGCAAACAATGACTAACAAGGAATACAGCACAGATTCAGAATCCTGCGAGGATCAACGCTGGCCCTGTAGTGCACATATAAACAACAATTCTGCCCATATCTCACAATCCGATCTATGGTATCCAAGAATCAGGAATCAGGAAACATTTATTTGCCAAAATATGCCAAACATACAAGGAGAAACTCATCTGACCTAACGTACCACATTCTTCTTCTTTCTTCCACAAGCCATCCACTTGTACAACTATGACCTCCTCATACCTGCACATATTGTTTGCATTAAACACCGAGCTTGTCTGCATTCTTATCTTAAAACGAACGAGCCGTCAGATGTTGGGTCCAGGGTCCTGGCTCTGTGTAAACGCTGAAGGCTACGGGCTGTTTGATGTTGTTATGGCTGGCTGGCCGCCGCCGCCTCAGTACTACTGGATCTGCAGGCCCCTCTCATGACCAAAGGTATTGTGTTGGCTGCTCTTTTGATTTGTAATATCAACAGACGGAGCAAATTAAGACTCCCACTGGACACGAGTAAGCAAACAAGCATTGGTCGCGTCTGGTGCATCCAAAGAATGTCCGTCATCTTCTTTGAGGATATTGATGTCCAGCGTTGGGGTTATTCGGCTGAATATTGTTCTGGCTTGTAAAACAATTTGCCTGTTATTGGTTCCCATGATTTGAAGAGCATGAAAAGTATTCAAGAGGAAAGGACATTTTGATAGTAAACATCAAACATATTGTCACTACTTGTCATGTATGTACTTGTATTCACACCGATCCATACACTGATGACAGGAGCTACACAAAGCCGCCTTATTCTGCCATCAGTACTATGATTCATTAACATTCACCAACCTCATGCTCAGCATGATGTTAGTAGACTATATACTTGGGACTCTATGTATGGTGTTGTCGTTCTGACAATCATTAAGTCAAAATGTAAATGTGTCCAGCACTTTGGCTCATGAAACAACACAACCGGCAGTTTAGCATTGTTATACATTCACATGGTAACCACCGATATCACCTAAAGCTGGAGGAAACATGCCACAAAATTAAAAATACACACTTGTGTTTTTTGTGCTCCAAAACTTGTGCTCCACAACTCTTGGATTTGAGTGAGTGGAGGCTCCGTTTCGAGATTAGTCTTGTTGATTATTTCAGAACAAGGCCTTCCTCTGTGTCAAGGAACGGGACAAATTGAACTCCAGATAATCCACAAGATCCTAAAAGCCACCGGCGTTCTCACAAATCATGTAGACATTGCAGCAAGCATGTGTATGGGATTTGTTACCTTCAATGCAACGTGTGTGCCTCCAGGATGGTTTGGCTGAACCCTTGTTAGTGGGAGTGCATGGTTGTTGGCGTGGCCTGGGGTTACCAACTGGGGTCAACACAACTACAGGAACGAATCACATCACACACACACACACGACAGAATGAAATGTAGGTGTGCATTCTGAAACTAAGTTCAATCCAATTGAGTCACATTTTGTATGTGAAACAATCAGGAATCAGGAATCAGGGAACATTTATTGCCAAAATATGTCAAACCTACAAGGAATTTGTCTTGGCGGTTGGTGCGTGACAGTAGACACAAAACAGACAATAGACAACAAGACAACAACCAATGTAATCGTCAGCTTGAATTTCTGAGTAACCACAATCAGAAGGTTTTTAAAAGGCGCCTTTCAATATTCCAGATAACATCTTTATGCCTTAGAGCTTTAAAACCTCCTCTCCTTCATGTTATTTTCCCATTTCTTTCTGTATTCTCTCTCTCTGCTCTCCCCTCTGTCAACACATCTGAGGTTATTTATCTTCCATTCTGTGGCAGAAATGTGGTCCGCATGTGTTTGGCTTCCCTCCACTCAGAACTCATCTGTAGTCCACCTAGGAGTCACTAGTGGACCGTAGCAGACCTACCAAGCAAACAAGTGTTCGAGCCACACTAGATATGTGCCACACTGATGGTTAGGGATTTCTAAGTATATCCTTGCTCATGCACAAAACATTACTCCATCTTCTGCTAACGACGTATCTCACATTTGACCCAAAGTTCTGTTGTAAACGTGCAGGCAGACCTTTCCCCCTTCATTTCTATTGGGTGAACGATCGACAGCACGACCTGCAGGAATTAGAGGGTCTAAATGGAATATTGGGGTTGCTTAAACCTATGGAATTGCATTACTCTGACCTTTAAACTTTTAATCTCAATGTTATTTAATACTCTGGAAGGAGTCTAGACCCTGGAAAACATGATGTTAGAAAAAGATCAACCTAGATACCACAGTGGAGACATGCAGGGGTTTAGGAGGTTTCACTTATGTATTAACAGGCCTTGTTTTGTCTGGTTGAATGGAACCATCTGTATGGTTTTCATATCCAGCTGGTCTACACAGCAACACATCGTCCTCTCGCTTGGACCCTACAACTATAACTGAAAGTCCTGAAAAGTAATCACTCTTCTGGAAACATGCCGTTTTTGAAAAGGCAGAGATCGACTGTTTGTACGACTCATATAAAATATTAGTAGAACCTTTGACTCAGACATGAACTAAATTTAAAAACTAATCGCATTTTAGTAAATAAAATGTAAATAAGGAATACTGTTGGTACAACTAGTCACTGCACGCACTGCTAACACATGCAAGCAAGAGAATTTATGCCTGACTCTTAATTAAATCCTATCGTGATACACTATTATTCTCATTGAGGCACATTCTAACACACAAAGCCACAAGTGCTTTGCAGAGATAAATAAACAATTTAGCATTTACGTTAAAAAGCCATCTGACACTAATTTGTGATTTGGGGCAATACAAAAGAAATTGAATGGAAAATGAAATTGAATCATGATTTGGGGATTTTCTTTTTCTTAATTGTGCTGGTTTTCATTTGTGATTGGGCTGTAAACTGGCAAACCGCCTGGAGCATTTACCCCCTTAATGCAGTTTGTTTGGGTGCATCAACTAACCGCTGCCTGGTCTCTCTATCATTGTTGGTGCTGGCGGACCGTGACTCACCGCTCCCTCAACGGGAGCCTCTAAGTACCCCCCGGGCTTGTCCGGTTGAGTCTACTGAAACTCCCTGGGGGATCCATTAAGGACCAAGGGACCCAAGACCTCTCTTCTACTGGTCTACTGGACTACTGGTAGCCTCGACCACGACAACGTACATACAGGAGCCATCAACCCAAGAAGGCAGGATGATTGATGGAAGGCACTGATTGAATGTCGGATGGATCGTCATTGTCAAGCAGTTTCAGTCTGAGAGCTGTTGGAGCTCCACCTAGATTCTAGATTGAGTTAACGGTATAGTTTTGGAAGACAGGTAACTGCAGCTACCACACAGGGTGGAGGAAAGATAGTGACTTGATTGGACAGAGAATCCTCCGAGACATACTGTCGAGTGAGGGCATCTGGAACCAGGTATAGGTGGGTGTTCAACAACAACGCCCTGTGTGTAACTGCCTGGCTTTTTTCCTTGTTAGCATCTAGCTTCGATACAATAGGCCCTGAAACGCACAGTCTGCTTAGTTTTGGCAAAATATTGGTATGATATTTTGGTGTGTGGTAGAATTTTCAGGGATCACAGGGCTTTGTTCCTCATGGGCCTCAGGTTGTAAATAGTGTGTGATGGGAAACTGGAGACAGTGTGGGTAAAAAACGGCGGGAAAGTGAACAACGACAGGAGGTAATATAAGAAGTATGGTTTGGTAGTCTACAAAATAAAACCAGATTTGAAGTGCACATTGAGACGCTCTGGGAGTTGAAGTCTCCGACTGCAGTGAATTCTGGCGCACCATCACCATCAAAGACATTCATGTGTGATTTCGTGAATTTGAAAATGAGATAATGATTAGCTAGCTGCGGTTCTTGTCTCACTCACAGCAGCTAGGAGACTAGTTCACTGAAAGGAGACCAGCTGCATTGTCTCCTACCGGCAGGAAGTCAAAGACAGACCATGGTTCCAATACTGGCCACCAGCCCACTGTTGGGGCAATGTTCTGTAACCAGTGTAGCATGAAAGCATGGCTGATTACACAAACTAACTAGCAAACTACCTGGCTGCTGGATTATTTAAATTGTACAATCATCACGTGAATAATAATCAAACACCATTTCCCCTGCATTACTGTGTGTGTAGGCAAGAAGGTACAGAAGCATATTTCCCAAAATGTCCAACTATACTTTATTGTTAAATTGACCTACTGGAAAGCCTGAATGCTAATGGAAAAGTTTAGCTGTGTTGGTCAATAAAAGAGAAGAACTACTCAGTTGAGTTTGAAGGAATGTTGCTATGCTTGGCTCCACCATAGTCGTGAAAGTGTGGAAAAAGAAACGGCACATTAAGGAGTCAGATGATGAATGCAAGGGCTTTATTTATTTCTTCAGCATAATAGAAACAACACATCCATAAAGCACTGCAGTACAAAGTAGAACGGAAAAGACGCTTTATGTTGTTGTATTAAGTGATATGTGGCAAGTGGTTTCCCTTTGATAGTGGCTGCCTTCGTTTCTCCGTCAGACTAGTGCACCGAGTATAGAGACATTTCAAAGCTTCAGCGAACTTAAAAAAAAAAAGAGCAGAAAAATAAATACTGTACAACACCATATGTAATACTAGATTCAAAGATCACAACAAGATCACACTTTCCTCAACAGAACACTTTGTATATACACTTTCACAGAACAATGCAGCGTTTCTGGTTTGTTTCCCTCCATAATAGCAGTATCAACAAATGGCCAATAGGAGTAGTGATTTTTGTTTGTCTATTTGTGTGTGTATATATATATATATATATATACGCCATATGTGTGTTTATGTATACACAAACACACACAGTCATAAAAGATTTATCAAAATCCCTTTCAAAAGGCGTCTAGGCCGGGGTGCCCAGACGATCCTGTTACCACCACACACACACACACACATTTCTTAATTAAAGTGCCTTCCTTTTTAACGTTTGGTGATTTCAAAATCTGGAGGCAAAATTCCTGAAAAAAGGCTGGTCGCTACGTTTAGCTGCTGTGTGAAAACAGCTCCTCCTACAATGCTGAAAACTATCGTAATTATGGTTGAACATACCCAAATAGGTATTTACCATGTTTCCTTAACCTCTATGTTAGTCAGGGTTAAAGGACATGTCCTCTCAGGGGTTTGGATGCGAGATTTGTCCTTTCACTCAAATTCAAGATAAAATATGGTATCTTGGCATGAAATTGCTACTTCCAATAGCGCTCAGCTGTCGAGGTAAATTAACAAATGTGTTTATCGTTCAGCCAGTCCCCATGAGAAGACTGTTGAGATCTATGAGCTCAATCCGCTCACTGTTGAACAGAACTTTACTTACATTTGCACCATAGAGATTTGCCACTGTCTGATTTTTAACTCTTTGGCACCCAGGTCATATTATTTCCATGGTTCCTAAAGTGTGAGGAAACATGAAATCAATCTGTGACAAAAACATGATGCCAATACAATATGGTTATAACGCTCAGCAGAGAGCACACTGTTTCAAATCTTTTTAGCTTACCTCTCTGGCTGAGATACCACCAACTTTAGTGTAATACAATTGAATGACTGAAATGTACATTACTGTGAGCTCGTTAGGCCTCTTTTGGGTTTACCCATGTTCTGTTGTCTAGTTCCCCTCACTACCTTTGTAAAACCTGAAGGATTTGATCGTGTAGCAGCATAGTTGGGATATTAGTTCTGTTGGACCTTTCCCATGCATGTGTTTACTTCATCAATATAAGCAGCTTACATTTATACGTTTTGTAAAACCTACAAGAAGCATGATCTGGATGTCTACCGTGTGTTGGTATGGTCAATCACAAGCGCTCCAGGACATCAGCGAAAAGGCAATACGAAGACGTCATGCTTACAAACACACACACACAAACACACACACAGGAGAGTGTGGATTTAAAGAGAGAGATGTGAAACACGTTAGCAAGTGATGGGAGAACACTGCATTTTCCATTCTTATACATCAGTTCATGTGAGCCTGATATCAGGACACAAATCCTAATTTGAGACAGCCACGCGACTACCCTACCTAAACCTCCCAAACATCCGAACCACAAATGTGCATTTCTCTCTGTCAGCGCTTGGTTAACGCCTGATGCACAGCCGGGTTCAGATGTACCATTTCATTTCATCGTCTCCTCTCAAATTAGGATTGGCCCCCTTGACTGAGTCAAGTGGTAGTTTTGGCTGTGGTCCCTCAGTACTCCCTGGCCTCCTCCAGTTCGTTCATGAACACGTCTTCGTGGGGATTTTCCGGGCAGCTCAATCCATTATTTGGTGGGCGCACAGCATGGAAGCGACTCCAGTCGCCCTTGCAGAGAATCCAAGGCAGCACATCGACTTTAAAGTGCAGCTCGGGGGAGAACTCAACGCTGATCAGGTTAGGCGTCCCTGCGCCTTTCCCGCGTGTGATCAGCCGACCGCGGTCGCCGTAACAGCACTGCTGCGCGGCGAGGGTCGACGAGTCGCTGGAAAGTGCCGAGCGGATGCAGCTCCGCGCCGACGGCTTGTAGATGTCCAGTCGCTCCTTGGGGCCGCTGGCATCGCGCCAGCTGAACGGTCGGCCGCGACTCTCGTCGTGGACGCTGACCACGGCGTACGCCGCTTCAGAAGGGTAGGAGCAGGGGCAGCTGGGCATCTCAGACAGCACCTGGTGGAGGTACCGCTGGAGGAACTCGCTCTTACAGTTCAGCCACTTCTCACAGCTGTCCACATCTTTGGGAAAGACAAAAGTAATAGTACGTGCCATTGCTGGCTAGAGTTGTACATGGTGGCATTGTGGGCAGCGCTGACAGGGTATGTCCTGTTAAGATGCTACGTTGCTACGCACTCGTGCTACATTCCCCATTGTCAGATTGTTACCACAATCCAAGGCTGTCCAATTAAATGGTAATTGTACTGATATTTCTCTCTTCTAGTCTTCCCACCACTCTAATCTCTTTAACCATCATGTCATCATTTACCCTTTCATACACTGATGACTACCACACACAGCGCCACCGCTCCATCAGTAACTATCATTCCCGTCATTCACACACCATGGTCACAGTCACACATGGAGACACTAGTTAGCGGCCGTTCCTCTGATTGGAGGACGACTCTGCTCTCCACGGTCACAATAATGCAATTGTTAAAAGTCAAGGAAATATGTTATTGAGAACTTTCCATTAGAAAAACTCACCTGTACCAAATGGCTGTGTGCCATTCTCCATCTCAAAAGGGAAAGGCTCAACCACAGTGTTGACTTCACCTACAAAGAGAAGATACGTCAGTAGATTCAAAATCATAAATCTAAATACTGTGGCTTTGGTTTATTAGTGTCTCCCTTGAAAGGGAAATATAGTCTCACCAGGACAAGGCTCCAGGTCACACTTGGAGGCTTCGGTCAGGGTGCAGGAGTAGCCACAGGACTTGGTCCTCTTCTTCTCACCGTTTCCACATGTCACTGAACAGGGAGACCAGGGAGTCCACTCATCTGTCTCCTTCTCTGTGGGGAGGAAAACAAAATGCAAACACGCTTTGTACCATTATGTTTTCTGTTTTTGTTAAACTCAATATCATTCACATATTTGAGAGATTAAGGGAATACAAAATGAAAGTTAATTCAGTTACAGGAGCTCCAACATCATGCCTCCTAGTTGGTGGGGGTTTTGTGAAGATACACGGAAGCCAAGAATCGACCTTTTATTATATAAAGTATAATAGAATAGCTTGAATAATAAAATCAATGGCTTGTTCAGCCCACTAGATGGTACTGTGTGGTTTTCTGATGAGGTCAGCAGAGGTCACAGGTCGAATGGAAACGTTGGAGAAAGAAACTGGAAACGTGAAAACAACAAAATCTATCACCTATTGGAGCAAAGACCTGCCTCCTTGAAACTTTTGCTTTGAACAGGCTCCCCTGCAGTCCACACACGATTGCATTCAGTTAAGTTGGACTGTGTCATACAAACAGTTCAGTTTGTCAGGCACACGCAACATTTGTGACAGTGTCGGTACGTTTGTCTGCTTGACAATCCCATTTTACTGTAATGAGATGAACACACTGAAATCTTACTCGATCAAATAAGTTGACATACTTTCCTTTGGGGACTGAATTTAACCTCCTAATAGTGTTGATTGACACGAGAAATACAGGGTGAAAACAACACAAACAACAAAAGCGCCTACAGATTTGTGTTAAGGAGAGCTCCGTCTGTACTTCAACGGTCTTATGGAGGACTGTACAGTCTCCTTCCATATAAATGACCATGTTCTCCTGCTCCAACCTATCCTATGCAAACCCGTATTCTTTTTAAGAAGGTCGGAGTCAAATTAGAGAGAGAAGCTGGGCTGTGGCTGTCCGCCTCCGCGCTGTTTCCTTGTGGTGTTAATAACAGTGAAAAAAAGTCAATCTTGATTAAAGGCGAGGTGGGTGAAGAAATACCTGCGTGGGTGTAGCGAGCATCCAATTTTACTTCGTGGACGCTGCCAAGTAGCCATGTGGCCATGCGAGAAGAAGTCTCAGGAGAGTCTTAATTACAGAAGAAGCCACGGCGGACATCTTGGTTTATGTTCACCAAGTCTTTGGATGTGACCCCTTAATCGACATTGTTGCCTTTTGCCGGCTCAACTACACGCACAGCCGTTCAAATTGATATAGGGGAACGCTTAAAGAATCTAAACTAGCGCTAACTAGCCACCTGCTGGAACATGCATTTGTGTTTTTATGTACAACAACAACAACAACAGGATGTAGTGAGCCCACACTGCTCTGCCTATCCGACTTCCCCTTTGTCTTTATTTCTCTGTCCCTTTCATTCACTACGTTCACCTTTCTCCCCGACTGATTTACTATCTTCACAAATGAACAAGTGGTTTATGTTTTCCAACAGGAAGAAGGCAGAATTACAAAAGGGGAAACGAGGTCTAAGAGTTTTGCAGAGCACCAAAAGACCCTCAAAATTCTTGAACTGGCTCTAAAGGCTGAGCCGCAAAAGGCAGCGAGGGACGCCAAGTTATGTGTTTGGGGGGGTATGGGAGGGAAAGATGAAAAGACTGGCCGGATGGCGCCTGTCATTCTGAGTTCCAAATCTGCCCTCTAATTGTCCAAAGGCAGAGGGCTGTTTTGTCCCAGGGAACAGTGGCGGCCTCACGCTGCCATTAGCGAGCTCATCGAACCCATCTTCAAAGGACAGGCCTCTCCCCCAACACGACCAGTGTCGACTTCAAAGTACGCACTACCCACAATGCCCTGATGGTCGAATGCTCATGATGCCTCGCATGCTGGCATCGTTTGGTTCTCTTCGGCTGTAGAGGCAGGTATCATGCAGGCTTGATGAGCACCTCTGAACTTCCCTCCGTCTCTCCTTCCAGATATTTCCATTGTCTACATCTCTATTTGATGAATTTACTAATTGAAATTCCACACTTTTCCCTTTTTGCATTCACCTTATTTGATAAAACTCACTGGACATATTTTGGTTGTTTTGTAAAAGCCATAATCATTGGCTAAAGTCAGAACTAACTACCACTTTAGTAACCTTACCATAGTAGCTCTGCATTGGATCCCAGCCTTCGTTCCAGCGTGTGTCCCAGTCTCCGCCCACTCCGCTGGGTAACGGCTCTTCGCTACCGTAATCCAGGGAGTAATCCTCCTCTTCCTCTTCCTCGCCAGTTTCCCCCACGCCTGACCGGTTGCTGCTGTCCTCGCTGGACTCGCTGTCGGTGTAACTCCAGAACAGAGGCCAGAAAAGCGTCTTGCCACCGAGCCAATCCACCGTGGAAGAAGGTGAGGAGGAGGAAGAAGGTAGCCAGTCTTTTTCCTTGGCAACGTCTATCTCTACCTCCATCTGAGGGTCGTCCACCACCTCAATGGTTACCTACGCAGAAACAGAGAGGGCCATTGGAAGTCTGAAGTGTGTGCGTCGCTGATCAGATCTTGGACAGCACACAGATTTGCTTTAAAACTCTCCTGTTGGTCTGAACTACAAATCTTATAAACAACACACTAATGTTGAGTAGAAGGCAATGACTCAAGTATTGACCTCGCATTGCCACGTTGAGTCGGACTTTGCCAAAATGTCCCTTCTAAAAACTAAAAGTACCTCCGATACTTTGGAGTTAGAAGCACTTCAGAAGAAATGAACCAACTCAAATCGGTTGAGAAGGTTTCTAGCAAACAGACCTGCTGATCTAAGTCAGCCAGCCAGACGTGAGCGTGAGCTTCAGCCAACCAAACAATCCTCTCAGGGAGAGAACATGAGCATTTATTCTGGATAACTACCTCTCGTTAGCTCAATATGACTCATCCAAGAGCAGCTGATGTGAAGGCCAAGCAGCAAGCAGGGAGACGACAGAGGGAAGCGTTTTGTTCCGTTGTGAAATCAATGTCACAGTTAGGAAAGCTCTACGGGGATTGGAAACGCTTTAATCGGTCTAAGTTGAATATACCTTTTAGTTGTGATCATGTGATGAAGACCTCATTATGTCCATTTAACCACATCCTGCTCACGCTGACCAGAGCTAGAGAGGGCAACTGGCAGAAAATATGTTTGAAAACTCTGGGTCAGTTTCGAACGTGATGACGACTTACTGGCAAATACGTATGACTACAGGGCCCGTTTCCCTTTAGCACACCTCGCTAAGACTGAAGACTTGTTTTATACGGTACCAGTGAAATGTTTTGACACATTTTCTCGTCCAATTCAATTAGAAAGTGTTTCCGAACTTTTGACTGGTACTGTGTGTAAAGTTCAGACAAATGATTGTCCGTTGAGAGTTTTTACACATCATTTTGATCTTATAAGTAGAAAAAAACAAAAAATAAATCCTTTAACACAGAATAAGTTAATGTTTTCCTTCCAAGAACCTTAGTTTAAAATGAAGTCATAGCCTACAAATAGAACATCTAGCACTTCACACATGACCCGATTTTCCCCCAATATACCCGTCGAGACTCTAGCCTTTGAACCATACGTCTGAAAAACTAACAAGTCCTTTCTCCTGGTTTCTGGGGGTCCAGAGAAATCTATTTCAGGCACGTTGTTTTTCTTTCAATTTGAATTGTGTCCAAATTTTGAGCAATTGTCGTTTTATTGGGTTCAGAAATCTCTAGTCCGAGCCAGAACATTACAATTTTCTAGACTTTTTTTGTTCCATATCATTTTTCTATAACAATCAAGCAAGTCCATCTGTATGTGTCGGCGTCCATGGCGTATTTTAAGGAACCGAAGCTCTGATCTACTTTACGCGTTCACTTTTAATAAGCTTGAGCATGTAACTCATCCACTGTTAGTGCTGGATGATGGATCCAACCAGGTCCAAGTCTTCTTCACTACCCTGGGGTCAACGGGCGATGAGCGGCTCTCAACAGCCCTTCAATGAGCATGTCTGTTGGCCATGCAATACGCCCTATTCCCAAAAGGCACGTTTGAAACGGTGTAAGGATGTCTAAGGAACTGATCCCTTCAGACTCACCTGGATGTTGGGGTTCTGCGGGTGTATGTCAGCATTGGCCAGCTCTGGAAAGTTCTTAAGGTCTAGGATGAAGGGTTTAGTCTCCTCCTCAGGCTCCGGCTGTGGAAGAACACCTACAGAGTGGTGCTGGGGATGGGACCACCTCCTCTGGTGGCTGTGCGGCTCAGACAGGAGACTCCGGACTTGGTTCTGCTGCTCTGAATCCTCAGGCACATATTGGATCCCACCATTGGAAATAGAGAGGCCGTGAGCCTGAGAGAACCAGCAGGGACACAAAATATGACTAAATCGATGAAAGACAATGCCTTCGGATCTGATTTACACCTTGAACAATCAATCAAACAACGGGATTAGCCAGTGGATATGCCAGGAATAATGATAGAAATATATTAGTATATCTCAGGGAAGATACGTTTAACCAGTCGACCACGTTGTAGCTTGGTCAGCAATACGAGCCCCTGATGCATCCAGCACAAGTGACCAACCAGCCTTCGTTCATTTATTCTTTTCTTTTTTTCCCACAGCAGTCATGGCATCCAGGCTGTGGACAAAGGGGGGCCTCTGACAGAGAGAGATCCTCTTTTGGCTTTAATGAGAGGGCCTGGGAGGCGTGGGACTCCTAAGCTGGTACAAGCGTGTGCTGCCGCTAATATGGCCGCCACTTCATTTGACCTTCCAGGTTTTACAGTTACTGAGCCCGGCAGGGATGAATGTTGATCTCTGAGATTATGGTGATTATTGGTGGCAGTAGAACGGTGGGGAATTGTAGCTCTGCAATTCCGTTAATCTGGAATAGAGGGACTGAGAATAGTTTTTTTATTTGGTTTCAAAAGCCGTACCTGTAATGCACAGACTGGTCTGTTGGTCACTCATGTCTCTATGATTCAGATTTGGATAAATTGGCTAAATCTTGTAACTGGACTGGACATTGACTTTCGTCATAAGCCAGTTCGTGGTCTGCAACAAACCAGAAGCAGTTTGTGAATTGTGTGAATCATTAAAAAAAAAACAGGTTGATGATTTATACTTATAGCCTGTAGAACGGGGCGTATCTTTCACCGACGCACTGATTGTCCCATAAAGAAGTTATGTGGTCGGTCAAGAATGTGAACACACAATTCCTGTTTAGAGGAGAAGCCGTTCAAGCATGATGAACGTTAGATGAAAAGAAGTTGGCCCCTTCGGTAAATAAATGTAAACTGGTAATGACAAGTAGCACGTTCAGCCTTGGTCTCTGTAAAATAATCTACTGGCTTTCTTTCACCACTGGTTATAACGTTATTAGAGCAAAATAATGATCAACCAGTGAGATTATCAATTGTCCTTTAGGTCACTTAAAGTGTGCTGTCTTATACGAGAATTTATTGAAGAAATCCTCCAGCGTTGAAGTCTCCATGTGATGGTGCTACAGGCCGGTTGTGAGCACTGTGAGTGTGTCACTGTCCAGCAGTGACTATATTCACATTACACACCAATTCACACCTCCGCCCTCACATGCAGAGGGTCTAGAGTCACGAGAGAGGCCACATGCTTTCACACCCTTCTCATCGCGTCTTGTTACACATCTGGATCCTGTATATCACTCCTCCTCCTCCTCCTCCTCCTCGTTCTCTCTGATCCTGCTCTCCTCTGTAGTGGGGCGCTTCTGATCAAAGGCCGGATGGCCGATGGCATGCAGCGTGTTTAAGAGTGAGACGATCTGGCTGCAGTGAAGGACCTGGCTCTGGTCTGGAGACCGTTTTCTCTCTAAATCCTCTGCCTCACCAATGTGCATTGTGTGCTTTTATTATTAAACGGATGGAGACTGGATCCATTTTGAGCCGCTGTCATAGCTACTCCTGATGGCCACAAACATTCAGGTCAGGGAGACAGGAGGGGAGCAGCAAGGTCTGAGGAGCAGCGACAGAAGCCGGTGGGATTGGGGGGGGGCCCGGTTGGGAAGGCAGCCCTGATTTATGTGCCTGCAGATATCAGAGGCCTCTGCACTTGGCTGTTTCCAAACCATTACACGAGAACAATAAACTATGGGCGCTCTTTGATCGCCATCTTTAGCAAATGGAACCCGGACAACAAATGCACGCCCGGTGGAATCAGGGTGAGGTTTGGGAGGTCAGGGTGGAAAGTGGAGCAACAAATCCAAAATGGATCTAAATATCTGGACCTGGCAACCAGGTCCAGATATTTAGATCCAAAGAGGCCACTGCAACATGAACCCCTCCTTTCCTTTTCCTTGCTGTGGGATGGGGGGGGGGGGGGGGGTAAAACCAAAAACAGGAAATTCCACATTAACACAAAAAAGAGCCAATGTAAACAATCCGACGAATGACACTTGACCCGAGCGGCAGCGTGAGAGACGATGGGCTCGCCTTATTCTGGTTACATAAGCGTTTTGTTACTGAGCCTCCCCTCCTCCTTCTCTGCTAATCTCTCCTCTCCATCCACACCAAGTCACAGGCAAGGGCACCGAGTCGCCGACCGGGGCCTTTTGGTGAATGAAGCGAACGCTCACACAGCCACAGAGAGATTATTTCTGACTTCTCACTAATGCTTTCTTTTTCCTCCCTCCCTCCCTCCCTATTTCTGCTTTGGCATCAATCAAACAGATGATGAGAGTCTCAATAGGGGCTCCAGGCCACACAGGAAGGAGGGTTCAAAGGCACAAACTGAACTCTGACCCGAGCCCACAGCGAAAGGCTTTGATATCCAGATCTGCCCGTGTGCAACACAAACATTCCCATAGACGCAGCGCTCAGCGTGCATGCCCAGTAAAAGCCGACCACACTGGAGGAGGAGATTTGGTCCTTTCACATCACTTTATTGATGGAAACAGACTAAAGGCAACACCAAAAAAAAGCAGCAGTTCCACTTATTTTCTATGACACTCAGGTTGGTATAAAAGGAGAATGTGTTGAAAATAACTTTTAATCTATTAATCTAACTATTAATCACATTACATTTCAAAGAAATTGGCATTTACATTCGAGTGTATTAAAAAAAATTAGAATTAGGTTTGTGATATTTGTATAGTTTCGTTTAATGTGACTTTATTGTCATGGACGTTTACAAAAGCCCAATGTTGACAAAGCATTGACCTTAAGGAAGATATTAAGCAATAAGGCTGATCACATAATTACCGAATGGACATTTTACAAGTAAGCAAAGATGCTCATCATCTGAGAGACAAATGCTTCTGTGTACTTTCTAAAGACTACGCAGCTTTTTAAGACGTGTTGCTTCAACTTACTAAAGTTAAAATAGGTCCACGGGGACCGGACAAGCGAAGCCAACTCACCATGTGGACACCGTTCTTGTGCCCGGTGGGAAAGCTTGTCCCCGGGCTGACGAGGAGGACCGACAGCACGAGGACCAGCAGGGGACATCTCGCGGCGGCCTCTTCACCCATGTCCTCCGCTGCGGACCTTCCTTGGAGGACTCGTTAGGCTGTCGGGCGGTTCCTCTGAGGGGGGGGTTCTCTCTCTCTGGGGGGGGGGGTTCCTGTGGGACGGTTCTCCCGCTGGTCAGCAGCCTGGACTCAGGAGGAACGGGTCAGACTGCGTCGGACTCCTTGTGCCGCTCTCTATGAGGACGCGCACCAGCGCGCGCAGGTCGCCCGCGTGCTGTCCATACCGCGATCAGCGTTCAGTCCGGGTGGCGGCTCGAGTTCCCCGCGTCTCTTCCCATAGAGAGCCGCCGGCGGGGCTTTAAGTAGCGGACGAGCGAGGCGGCACACGCGCAATCTCCCCGTCCGCACCGACGCTCGCTTATTCGACTACTTCGAGCTGTGAGTCACTGCGTCGTGGGTGGGTGTTTGCTCCCAGTGCATTGACGTCTGGAGATCGGCGCACGCGGTGCGCTCTCGCTGTCTACCCGGAGCGTTCATCCATTATCCCGCTGGAGTTCATCCACCGGCGCGAGCGGATGCGTGCGTATCTTTGCGTGCACCGCCTAGCCGACCGGTTTTGGGAGACTCGCCTTTTACGCACGCATTCAGAAGGTTGATGCTGGTGGAATAGTTGGGGGTGGGAAGCTTATTGCTCACAGATGTGTGTGTGTGTGTGTGTGTGTGAGAACCTACAGTGGGCTACAAATCAGGACATGAATGTGACGTGTACACTTCTGTGAATACCACATTTTTTCAATTAAATACTATTTCACTATTCTGAAATAATGATTAATTGGAAACTATCATAAGAGTTGTACAATCTGCGTGTGCCTTCAGTAAAAATAAAGATAAACACCAAATTCCAAATACTTGATCCAAAGAAAGTGCTTTAATCTTTGCAGCACTGCTTCCAACAAACAGTCAACAAACATCATAGCGTCGAACTCCTGCAAGTGGTTTATGTTCAACACAAATACAATCCCAAGGGCAAAAGCTGCTGATAAACCATTTTCCAATGGACACTGTGGGTCGGTGTGCAGGTGTTTGTGGAACACTGCGTCACTCGGCTCCGAGCTACTCAAACATGTTGATATCTCACGTTTGTTGCTGTTCCAATGTGGGACGAGGCCGCTGCATTTACACACACTGCCTCCAGACAGAAATGCGGAGACCTAAGACACTGCACGGTGATGCTGACAGCTTCTTTCTTTTTTTTATTAGGTCAGAGTGCATATTTCTAAAGAGTGCAATTCCAGACCTTAATCATCGGCTACATTATCTTCATTGAAAACAAATGCATCACAGAGATTATTGCTGAAGACAACCAGTATCGGAATGACTCAGTCAACGATAACAGTGCAGTTAAGTCCTGCCAGACTGTTGTGCTAAGACGCAAAACAACTCAGCAAAAGCATCCTTCAACTCGAGTTGAGGGCAAATCACTTTGAAGAACCCTCGCAGGAATGATCCCATTGCCAGACAGCTGGCGGCTTTGTGACTGGCCGCCGTTCAGATCGATCGAGTGCGAGAACACAAGAACATGGCAGGACGTGCGGGCCTTGTTCGGGGGTGGTCTCGCACCGGGAAGACAAAAAACCAAACCCGACACTCGACACTGAAAGCACGTTCGTACGGAATGCCATTCCCGAAGGTAGAAAAACAAACAACATCTGAAGCAAAGCCACACAAATATCAGCGACTACGTCATCTGTGCACGCAGGACGCCCGTCAGTAGTGCCGGCGCTGAAGTTACGACATGGAGACACTCAGTTAAAACACATGTTGAGCTGCCTTTCAGATAGAAATACGAGAAGACATTTTGAATAAATAAAAGGTGTCTGTAAATCAGATGCAGTGTTTCCCCAAGGGGGGAGAGGGGGGCGCCCCCCCCCCCCCTCGATAGGATGGTAAAGGAATGGAACATCGTCATACATACAGATCCAAGTTACGGGGTGTCGTGCTCATAGACACCGATTCACATGAAAGCAACAAGAACAGGTCACCCATGGAGCGCATTAGCTTATGGAAATGTTAAAGACACTGTGCTCACGTTTGAGTGCAAGTAAATAAGCCAGAAAAATATCTGTAGGAAATGAGCAATAGGAATATTCCGTAGTGTTCTGTTGGGAACATCTGCTTTGCATCGTAAGAGAAAAGGGTAGAAACACGTCTATGCGTATAGACCCTTTGGTCAGGGAAACCACCCACGATTCTCTGCTCCATTCAAGTAAAAGTAATTAGAAAAAGCCATCACGCACATATGCAAATGTTAGTTCTGTGAAATAATGTATCTGCATTGAAGGTTTGGGATGATAAATAATATTTACATTTTTTCTCTTCCTGTTTTAATCACTACTCTGATCCAATTTATTATTTGCTTTACTCCGTTCTTCTAAGTGCACGAGAGGGAACTCGTGGCAAAAAAGGTCTCCTCTACTCTACTCTGGGTGGAACTACAAAGAAACTATCACCCTATTCAAGTTGTTGTTGTTATTGCACGGATAAAGACACACGTTTTATATGCATACAGGAACAGGGCTTGATGTGATGCAATCAAAATGAATTGGGACAAAGTGAAGGGACGTTGTGAAGGAGGGGGGGTGGAACCAGCCGCAGTGAGCAGTGGTGGTGTGAAGGCTTCAAAAAAGGGCGGCCCGGTGAAGATGTTCTGGTGACCGGAGACGTAAGGACATATGGTGAGGAGGAAAATGAAGAACATCAGGCAAGAAAAGGTGGGGTGGGTGGGTGGTGGTGGTGGTGGTGGATGTTGCTCAGTCTTGAAGCAGGCTCTCCTTGGCCATCCACCCAAGCGAGGGGAGGGGCTGTTCCCGTCTGGAGTATTTGAGCTGCAGCAGGTCACCCACTTCGTCTGTGGCCTTCAAAGCCTGGAAAAGAACAGCATGAACGCTATGAGGCTCGGTCCAAAAACTCAAGTCAACATGGGCAAAGGGGAACAGAAAGCTGCCTGCCTGGTCAACGGGGGAACAGAGACGCAACCACGAGAGCTTGGATCGGCGTTGCAACACCGCGGGGCACCTGGAAACAATTTACCTTCTTTTCTGGATCCACGCTTTGAGAAACAGCGAGTGCTGGCCGAAAAAGAAAAAGCGGCTCCTCAAAGTGCTCAACAAAGGCAGGCGGATGCCCTTTAAATGGACTATTACACACGGCGTTGACATGCTCCTCAGCAAGATGGATGAAGTGTCTCTGGAGAGACACAGCGGCACAAATAAAAGTCTCCGTTTCGGAGCCATGTTGGAATATCTGGAGGCAGCCCAGCCTCCCAAGTTGTTTATAATGAAGGACACATTGGGTGGCTAAATTATTCAACAGGCACACTGATCATGCCGTGACTGTGTGGACACACACAGACAGTTTTGTGGCCGTTTTGTGTTGGAAGCTCCGATGGTCCAGGAATGTAGGTTTTTACCCATCTTCCCCAAAGAGACTCGGCCACCATCTTTACTAATGCATGTCGGAGATGGAAGTGGAGCCATTTCTCCGGTTTGTGCTGACGTGCTAATGAGCATTTTCAAATCATTCTGCATGGTTGATGATTATTTGGAGTAAAAACTCTAAAACTGTCTAGAAACGGCAAGATAAGCAAGAGAAAACCTAAGAAAAATAAAGGTTCCAGGTGATTCATATGTCAGACCCGTGCAGCGATTACAAACCGTAAACCCATGAATTTGCTGAAGTGGCTTTTTCCGTCATTCTTTTTAAACTGCAGTCTATCGCTTTTAAAACGACAGATATGTGGATGTTTCCATGTAGGACATATTCTTCCGTGTTATGTTTGGGACAGGGATCGGATGACTTACTGTGTCCAGCATCTCTCTGGTGTGGGCAGCGGACACGCAGAAACGTGCCCTGGACTCGATGATGGGTGTTGCTGGGAAGCCGACCACCACGGTGCCAATGTTTCTCTTCAACATCTCCCGGCCAAACGCCCTTCAAAGCAACGGCAACGTTAGCCACAGCAAAATGGAACTGATCCCCACATCCTTTATGGCGCTTCCTCTAACTGCGCGATCCCGATACAAAAAACACACACACTCGGGTTCCATTTGGAAAAGGGACGGCAGTGAGAGGAGTCATTCAAACTGGAGCAGGGGCCGTAGTCCCTTAAAGGGACGGGGGTGGTAGTTGGTGCCAGACAAGAGTACGTCACAAATTGCTCATCTGCCGGGATTTTCACGCACAACCGTCTCCGGGGTTTACGGAGGATGGGCCCCAAAAAGAGAAAACTGTGTGGACGAAAATGCCGTGTTGATGTGAGAGGTCAGAGGTCAGAGGAGAATGGGCAAGACTGGTGGAGATGATAGAAAGGCCACAGAAGGTCAGATAACCACTTGTTCCAACCAGGGAGCGCAGAATACCGTCTGTGAACGCACAACGCGTGGAACCTCGAAGAAGACTACAGCAGCCGGTGGCACCCCGACAATTCACACAGGCTCACTGCAACGGACAACAGAAGATCGTTGCCTGGTCGGACGAGTCTTGGGTCACAATTTGACTTCAATCACATCAGTGTTCACTTTGGCAGCTATTTTTGATTTAGTCTTAAGTCTTTAGACGAAAAATGCATATTAGTTTTAGTCACATTTAGTCATTTTTAGTCTAGTTTTCGTCGACGAAAACTAAAATGTAATTAGTTTTAGTCACATTAAATAGCCATATTAAACTCCTTTTCTTCCCTTCTCAGGCCCATGGGACCCCCTGTGTTGTGTCTACAGCTGCATAATAGTCTGGCTTGCAGTACTTGGTTGTCCATTAGATGTCCCTCCTAGGACAGGCCTATAGATGTCCCTCCTAGGACAGGCCTATAGATGTCCCTCATAGGACAGGTCTATAGATGTCCCTCCTAGGACAAGTCTATAGATGTCCCTCCTAGGACAGGTCTATAGATGTCCCTCCTAGGACAGGTCTATAGATGTCCCTCATAGGACAGGTCTATAGAAGGTCGGCAAACGTTTTGACTCGCGGCCACAGTGGGTTGTAAAATGTGACGGAGGCCAAGAACAAATGGTTGAAGTGTTTGTGTGAGCTGATATAAATGACATGTGAAACATCATTACATGAAAGGATTTGGATTTTAACAAATAGCAAAGCATTTATTTGCAAGGCCATTTAACAAATTGGCAAAGGTGTAACAACTTCATGAGGACCAGGGACCTAAACGCTACACTTTGTTGTCTTTGTCTGTTTACTTGCAATGCTTTTGACACTTTATGGTCCTTTATTGTTTCCACTGTCCCAACAAGAGAGACCTTAACGTCCTACAATCGCTGCAAGACATTATTTTCTTGGCTTCAGAACCTGCAATGAGTTTATTACTTTAGACGCATTTGTGACGGAGCGTCTCATCCAGCTGAGGAAACGCTGCCTGCCGTCGCCAGAGAACAGAGCAGAAAGGTCCGACAGTCTTTAAACGCGTCTTCGTGTTTCTGTGAAGCAGCGCGGCTTCAGCCCGCTAACAGGCAGCTAAACCGAGACAGCCGAGCTAAACTAACGAAGCCTAATCTGGGTTCGTGGATGACGTCATCATGACGCGTTAATAACCGCCGTACTTTGCCGGTCTGCTGTCTGTCGGCTGCGTGCGAATTTAGGGGGGAAAAGTATCGTGACTTCGTCAACCACCAACATGTTCGTCTCGTCTCGTTAACGAAAATGTTAAAAAGTAAAAACTGACTAAATCTATTCTAAGATAGTTTTCGTCACGTCTTAATCTCGTCTCAGTCATGGAAAACAAGGTTGTTAATGACCATTTTTCGTCATAGTTTTAGAGGAGGAATTGAACATTAAAAGCATGGATCCATCCTGCCTGGTATCAACGCTTCAGGCTGCTGCTGTAATGGTGTGGGAGATATTTTCTTAGCACACTTCGGGCCCTTTATTACCAATTGAGTCAGTCAAACATCTTCCTACGGGGCCTTTGGAGTCAAACCCAGGCCCCGTCTACATGGAGATCTCAACGCCGATTGGCCAGGACTCCACACGTCTCACCAAAGACGTTTTACTGTGAACTTTTCTCCTTTTCTCTGACCAGCCGGCCGGTTCACATGTGTGCACGCATGGAAACGTATCATTTAAGAATGTCATACCCGATTTTGGCAGGCATGTAAAGCATCATAGGCACTACAGGCGAGTCGTCGTTGCCGTAGATGACGACGCCCATTTCCCGGAGTTTCCTGCGGAAGTAGGTGGTGTTCTCGGAGAGCCGTCTGATGCGGTCGGCACCTGGGGAGGGGAGATGAACAGAAGCGTATTCACCAAGATGGCCGTACATCAATCAAGCTTATTGCCGTAACAAAAGGTCAGGATCCCTGAGCTTAACTTTGCATGGAAAGTTTCCGGAAATTTACCGGAAGCTTTTCCGCCCCCTTTGAAAGTGCTTCACCCTTTGAAGACAAACGAGATTCTCAGCGGTCAAGGTCAGCGGGCTGAAACCGTCCTCGCGTGTCAGTGTGCTTCACCCTCTGACTCCACCAGATCATCCGCGTCTTAACCAAACAAATAACCACACGCCACCGAGAGCCAGCGGCTAAACACGCGTCCGAGCGGCCCGGCTGTGCTGAGACGCCGCAGCTTCAAAGCCCCCCCCCCCCCCACACGCAACAAAATCCGAAATTATATTCCACAAAGCTGCACTCGGGCGCCGAGTGATCAGACACCTTGAGGATTTATAACGCGCAGAGCGTTATGAAATACGGAACAAATGCTTTTGTCCCATCGAAACTTTTGATTGATGTGAGCCTCAAACAAAACAACGTCCATTCTGATGCAGCTACCTGGATGCGGAGACAAACTGTTAACAGGGCAGCTCGGACTGTGAACTTTGACTCAATGTCTAAATCTTCAAAGGGCTGCATTTCAAACAGTGACGGGCCTGCAACCATTCAGCCGGTTGGTCCAACAGGGAAGTTGTCGGGCTGCGTTGTCAGGTCGGCGAGTTCCCCTCTCGCGAATGGTTTGGGGAAAGAGCCGCCGACATCGTGGAACAATTATACTTGAAATAAAAGAATGCAATGATTGAATGACAGTGTAACCTGATCTTCATCAACCAGGCCTCTTAAAAGAGTAAAAGGACGACCAAAGATGTGCACAGATCTCCGGCGGGAGCAGCATGCGGCTCCGTGCACAGCGTGGAGGCAAATAAGCACACACACATATCTGAAGGCCATAAAAGGCAGAGGGCAGAGTCAACATACCACCCTGGATGGGACATTTTACTCATTACTCATGTGATTCAGACCAACCAATGAGCCAACAACCTGCGGCATTTACATAACGTACATATTACATCTGGCTTTCAGTGTTTCCCTGAGTTTACAGCTCATGGTGAGTGGGAGGGGGGGCAGATATTGACATTTTTGACGTCCTAAATACTGTGTCCGCTGCTGAAAGCGTCCTCACGCACGCACAGCTTCAAGGTGAACAAGCACACTCCGTACGAAAGAGTCAAAGTACAAAAGCTGATATGACGCAGTAGGAACTCCACTCCAGCAGGATTTGGATTTAGTCTGAAACTGAGCCGATAGCGACATCGTGTGGTCTCCGACGGAGTTGCGCTGCTGAAACGTCAAATCAGACACAACAGTCGTCCAGAAATCCCATGACTTCAAAATTGCTGCAACTGCAAAGAAGGAAAAGCACGGACAAGCATTTTTTTTTTTTTTAAAGATAAAGGTTTCTACCTGCTCAGTGTCTTTCCCACTTAGGGGCTTCAGCGTATTCCGTGCACGTGAGGTAGAGTGTGATCATTGTTTTTACTTTCTTTCAGTAATTCATGCTTGCACAAAATGTAATCAGATAAAGGACCCTAAACACTAAATAGATGACACTAGTGGAACTGTGGCAGACGAGCACTTGGCATAGTTTTATGCAGCTTGGAAGCGTCCAGGCGACGGACACAGAGGCAACGAGGAGAAGCCTGCAGGAATGCGGAGACGGCCTCTGAGGTCCGGGGGGCTCTGCTTTTACAGCAGGTGTTCGGAGCGGTGACGGTAAAACCGACCCAGAGCCAGCGGCACATCTTCTTAAACACTTTGTCCCACCCTAAAGCTTTTATGTGGTCACAGTAGTCAAAGTAAAGGACGACCTCCATCTCCCCTTTTTCCTTGGACCGGATCCCGATTAAGCTGCTTTTAGTCCTTTCTCATTACACGGCACAGAGATGCATCATTGTCTGGCACCTACCCAGCGTGGTCCCGTCCTCTCCCATGATGATGGTCATGGAGGTGATGATCTGCTGGGCCACAGGAGGCGACATGGAGGTAGCGTACAGGGCGCTGTGAGAGTGGCACCGCAGGAAGTTGATCAGGTCCTGAACCACAAATTAGAATGAGATCACTTTTGTTTAACATTGACGATGGGGAAAACATTTAACTCGCCCACACAGGAAGCTCAAGATGCAGGAGGAAAATAGTAAAGAGAGACAGCTTCTCCTCCGTTACATCAATGATGGATAAAATCCCTGTCAATACAATTCTGCCAGATTTCTTTTCAAATATTACAATTTTTTTGGACTATATCCTGTAAAACATTATCTTTCCATCCTGGACAGACAACAGGTGTTTTTACTACTGCACAGAACCACTGACTGTCATTACGCTCATCATTGAACACATAAGCAGCTGTAGAACAGACATATTAAGGGTTATGGAAACAATAGTTCCATTTGGGCCTCTAGGTCATGATGGCTGTATACAAAGTATTTGTATGAGTATTATTCACTTGGTTAATCACTCAAGCTGCATTGTCTGAAGTTCCAATGAAATCTGACCGTGACATAATTCATTTTCAGTAGAAGAGGAAGATACATTTCCCATTGCTGGTTAACAGTAATCGGGACCTTGAATGTTGTAAAACGGCCCTGACCCTTGACCTCAGAGCCTTAGTTCTACCGGTGCTCCAGATCACCAACCTTTTTGCCTGCAATGTATCCTCCAGCAGCACCGAAGCTCTTGGTAAACGTTCCCATCATGATGTCGACGTCTTTGGGATCCAGGCCGAAGTAGTCCACCACTCCTCTGCCGTTAGGCCCCAGGGCCCCAATGCTGTGGGCCTCATCCAGGTACAGATACGCCTTGTAGCGCTTCTTCAGAGCGACGATCTCTGGCAGGCGCACGATGGACCCCTCCATGCTTCAGGACACCACAATAAGTCAACAACAGTATTAACAAACAGCGCCTTTGAATGTGATGAGCAAGTGCTCACAAATAAGTGGACAAGTTCAACCCGAGTCACGCTAAAGGAAAGCTTAGAGGTGAGCTGCTGTTGGGGTCCCGTCATCGGCAGTGAGGCGCAGGGTAAACGCTGTACCTGTAGATGCCCTCCACCACGATGAGAATCTTCTTCCAGGGCCGGTGGGTCCTCGGCTGCCCGTGAGCGATGGCGTCTCTCAGCAGCTTTTCCAGGCTCTGCATGTCTACGACACAAAAAAGGAAAAAACGAGGCCGGTTGTCTAAGGAGATCAGTTATTACCGTCAAGTAATTTGAGAGCTTTTCTTAATTAATGGATGAGTGTCAATATTTGATCAGCCCTTCGAAGCATTGAGAGCGTTTTCTGAGCTGGATAACAGCGAGTCTGTAACTCTGTGTGCATTCGTCCGGACACACGGCGGAAAACATACATTTTAAAATCACGCCACAAAGGCAACGTGGAACTGAAGGAACCAAAGGGAGGGAACATAACGAACCTACGCCGACACGTTGAGCTACACCCATGTTAAATGTATTTGCTCTGCTGTCGGCCGAATCCTGTCTGTGTGTGTGTGTGTGTGTCCACTTTAATCCGGTGCTGCGTGGAACCGCAGACCCTGAATCCCCCTCCTATCGAACTGCTATTAGAAGGCACCCACTGTTGTGTTTGAAGACCCGAATGGTTGAGCCGGACAAGCGGGCCCCCAGCACCAGGGAGGCGTGATTCAGCTCGTCGCTGAGGATGAGACAACCCTGAGGACAAGAAGAGAAGACGTTCTTCTCAGCTGATGATCTCAGTGAATACAATGAAGGACAGCAGCAACGCGGCGTCAGGCAGGTCAGTCAGACGTTATTCAGTTAGAGATCAAGTCTTTTCTTAAAGCCTTCCTTGCATAGTCGTAACATAACATTGTAGCATCTGCAACGCTTGATATAGAGATAGAGATTAGAGAGATTAGATGACCATGGTTGACATATTTGGTTTATTACGTCATGAATACAGCGACATCGTGTTCTACGTCGTAAAGTCATCACACACAACTATCAGGAGAGCTCACACACTTTCCTTTGGTCGATAAATGAACCGGCTGGTTGGAACACGTAGAAATATAGCTGGACATAAGTGTGTGAGGTCAGTGGCAGGTAGTTAAGTACTCGTGAATCCTGATGACAAAGGCAGTAAAAGATATTAAACCATTAAAGACCAAAGTTTTGATAAGTGTTGATGGTTAAGAATACTGAATATTTTGTCTGCTCGCAAATCTGCTTCCTGTTGAAGGGAAATTGACTAGGGAAGAGTAAGGACATGTGCTGGGGACAAAGGAAGTGAAGGAAATGCCAAACCTTCCCCGTGAGAGCAGGAATGTTCATGGAGTTGGTTGCGAAGCCCATGCCGAAGATCATCGACGACTCAAGACCCAGAAACCTGGCCACCAACTGCTCCAGCTTCTCTTGGATGTCCAGGTTCCCTGGAGACAACATCTCAGTCTCACCACGGCTTCGCTCCAGCACAGCGTTGGATTAAGAGTTTTAATTTGCGTCATCACGCTGAGGCTCTTTACTTCATTCAAACACTCTTTGCATCTACACGCTTCACGTGGAGGACATGTTGATTTAAAAAAACGGTTTGCAGGTTCTTTGCTTCACTGTGTTGCTAATCCTACAAAGCCATTCACGCCCGCTGCTGAGGTCTCTTGGATTTTAGGATAAAAGCACCCGTAGACCGCGGCAGATCATGAAATCTTCTAAAATGACGGATCTTCTGGATTTTCTGTTCATCCTCACCCATTTCACAGCGAGAGCTTGCAACCCCGACGCCGTACTTTTCTGTGGCCTCAACGGCAGCATCGGCACAAGCTCCGGTATTGTCAGCGAAGCCCAGGTAATTGTACGAGCCCATGTTGATGACGTCCTTCACCACTCTGCCTGTGTGCCTGAGACAGACAGACAATTGGTACCCGACACCAGCTAAATAGAAATAATTATTATGTGGACTTGCCTGCCTGGGTTACCTGATCACTGCTAATCAGTTATAACTCTGTATTGTCTCACAGAGTAATATGTTAGGATAGTTCCTTTTATCCTGTTCATACAAATGAGATAAAAAGGAAAGTAATACACATTTTTTGCAGTTTGTGCCTTTGACGCATCACAAAAGTCAAGAGGTTTTGGTAAAACAGAAACATAGGATGTTCAGAATTTCCTTGAGGTAACAACAGGAAATGATTAATAAAATAATATTCAGCCGATTACAGGCCACGCATTTCCATGTTTGGCAGTACCGACAGCGGACCGTATCGCGCTAATGTTGCTAGCGGAGGGCGGCTCTGTGTGGTGCTTCTGCTCGGTATCATGTGACGGGTAGTAAAGCTTCCGACAGAAACCAGAGCTTACGTCACCCTTATTATCAGAAACACGAGGTCAGTGACTTCAAGTCCTGTTGCGCAAAAGGATCAGCAGCACGGGGACACACCTCTGGGAGTAATGACGCATCATAGAGACATAGAGACAAGACACCTCTAACCGCACACACAACGCAGCAACTTACTCAAAGGTCCAGTTGTAGTCACGAGAAACTCTCTCCACCAGGTTCATCTTGGCACCGGGGACGCTACATATGGGCCGGTTCCAGTTATCCCGAATTCTCATATACAAGTTCCTGGTGTAGAAGTTCTCAAAGTCCTGATAGAGGGGGACAAAGTCCTGCGTGGGGGACAAGGGAACAGTGTGGGAGACTCCTTAATGGCGTGTCTGCGGTTCTGTGGCAACAGCTAACGATTGCTGTTGAACCGCATTTAATGGGTGTGACATGGGCGTGAGGGGGGGGGGGGGGGGGGACGTGCGGCACAGTTCTGTTTATTACGACTAATTATAATTATGCCAGCAATGTTTTTTTGTTTTTTTTACAATAAAGGAAGGCTGCGTGTGAAAAAAGTGATTTACCTTCTGCTCCTCTTTCTCCCGAGCCACGTGGCACGTCTGGATGCTCCAGTGGCGGAGGAAGTCCCGGAGGTAGCCAAAGACGGTGAGGATGCCGTAGCCCATGTAGGTGAGCACAGCCACCAGCAGAGGAGTCTCCTCGAAGGATTCTGCAAAGGGCTTCTTGTACAGGCTGGAGGTGTGCGGCGCATTTTGGTTCTGGGTGATAAAAAAGAAGAAAGTTAATTATAAAAATGAAATTAAAATACAAACCACAGATTTAGGAGTGATACTGTTAACAGACTATGTTGAACAGTGGTTTCTCCATGGTAATGGTCTGTTTACACCCAATGAAGTGATAGAAAGCACATAAACTGGGCTCACACGAGACAGCAGCACGTTCAAATAGTTTGTTTCTTAGAAAGGATGGAAACAGAACGAAGGCTACAATAAGTGCACGAATGCACGGAGACCGAGTTGTTTAATCGTAATATTGACCCAGGATTATGGGACAATATAACAATGTGATATAACACTTATAAAAGAACCACTTCAAGCTGGACTGTGAACTTGGACGGCTACTAAAGCACCATTAAACAAAAGAGGGCGGTCGCACATTTACAGGCTGGGATTTGCAGCTCAGCGTCCATAACTCATGTGACCAGTCATGCTTCTCCGAGAAATACCTCTGAGCCAGGAGACGGGGGAGCGCTGCACTGTGTGCAGGTGTTTGTGTGTGTGTTTGAAGCTCAAACACGTCCTTTTCTCTACAGGCACAACATTTCTATGAAAGAGAAACCATGAGTTATGAACCGTGAACGGGAAACGCATTCCTGTCCAGGTACATCGTTCAAACAGACGGATTCCAACCACAGCGGCTAAATTCAGCTTGACTGACGTCATGTTTGTTTGGTCTTTTATACCTGTGGACAAACAGGGACTGAAAAGAAGGAGACGTCTGCCGTTCGTTTACAGGCCCAAAAGGGCTTCTAACCAACGGCCTCCCTGGAGAAACGAACATGCTGGTGTCTGTTGTCTTTTTGTCAAATATGGAAGAGTCCTCAGTGAACAACTGACAAGGCATTTGCATTTATCACGACGTCATAACAATCCTGCGTCTAACCAATTCCCCACTTTGTCAATATGGGGATTTTGGCCAGCTGGATAAGGAAAGATCTATTTCCTAGCGACAGGTTTCGGACCCGGGACGACCTTTCTTAACCTCCTGTGAACAAGAATTTACATTAAAGTGAGAAATGGCCCTGGATGCTGTACTTCAAATGACCCGACACACACCAGCACACACGTTCTCGGCGTTGATAGCGATCCCAAGCATTACTAATCCTGAAGTGCTTCAACGATGTTCATAATCATTCGGGCTGGTCCACACAAAGTAAACAGCATTGCCATCGTGTAAAACCATGGATTCTTTTTTAGCCTCCTCGCTAGGAATCCTCAACTTGAATATGTTCAGTCCTTTCTTGATTAAAGCGAGAAGATCACTGGTGGCCTGAAGGGCAGCTCTGGCTTAAAGTCTGGCCAGATAGATTATCATCTAGCAAAATCATCAGGACCTTTTCGAGTGATTCAACCTCGTGTTGACGTCAGCGGGCCCTGCAGCGTCACAAGTCGGAAATGGCACCTTTTTAGATTTCCCCTCTAAGCTAAACGACAGGGAATAAAAACAAATGCGTACCACGTGAGTGTGTGTGTGTGTCGTAACCTCCACTAATACACACAAACTGTGCTTGCATTCCACCGTGGGAGGGGCCGCACCCTTCACGACCCCCCCCTCCCCACACACACACACACACACACACACACACACACACACACACACACCTCCTCCCAACAGGAGAAAGACGGATCTCTGGTAACAACACCACAGGGCACTGGTCTTATTCAAACTGGGACCAGTGTAAACAGAGACAGGGTGTAAGGTTACAAGAGAGTCGCCGCTGCGAGCCTGTGACGACACCACCGGCGTTAAACGAGCTTTAATACACACAAGTCAGCACATTTGTGACGCGCTTTGTTGATGTTATTAGTTGTTTTTTTTTAGATGACGGGAAATAAACGAGGACGTGTTACGGAATTCCGCTGGGCTTGAAATGTGTCGCATTTTTTTGCGGGGGACACGCCGCTAGGATGGGACCTTGATGCTAAGCTAAAGCTGGTTAGCGGAGTTACATTAGTTAATGTAAACAGTTATTAACTTGAGAGGCGAGGCTGCCGTCGTGTGAACGCAGATCACGGCGCTATTCTCGTTAACACGACACAAGTGACTCCAAAACGGGTGATATAAAGCCGCTATACACCAGTACTCGACGAGTCCACATCCTTCCGACACCCACGGACGTGTTTGTGGGCGGGCCGCCCCCCCCCCCCCGTGGAGCGTTCGGCGGTTGGGCCTCACCTTCTCCCCGGGGCGACGATACTTCTGTGGCTGCTGAAACAGGCAGTGGTTCTTCACGAAGCCATTTTTGCGCGATTTTCTACCGTTTGAGTTTCGGTGACAAGCTTCTCCGTTCAGCAGCTTGTTCGCGGAGCTTTCCGTCATCTTTGTCAAGCGTTTGCGACGGAGAAATCCTAGATATGAAGTTTCCCAACTTGTGTACCGTTGACAGTGAAGTCATGTATGAGCTCGAGAAGCGGGCGGGTGTCCACGCCCACTATTCATCGGGACCGGAAGAGCAGGCCATGAAGCCACGCCCCCCGAGTCGTTTCATTGGCCGATGCTGTCTCCCAAAGATCGTCTACGTTACAACAATGCAAAGCTGTAAACAAGGCAACAGATAACATTGATTACATTACGATCGACACGATCGTAATGCAATCTAGTGGTAAATTCTCAATTAGCGGACAAGTAAGCTTGCGTGTAGCAAAACAGCCACAGCTAAGTATTTGTTAAACTCAATATGTTTATATTTGCCTTTGCCTCTTTATGGCAGTCCACATTTCACAGTTTAAAATATTAGCCATCATCTTTTGCTTTAATGGCAGAAAGTGAGAGGTTATTTTAACAGTTTAACAGTTTATTGAATCATTTGATATTAACGGTATTAATAACACGCACAAATCAAAAGTATTTCTGGTGAGAGGCCAACATTTTCTTTAGGTTGAGTGTCACGTTAATATCAAACCGTGTGAGAGCTCTTTTCTAAACCAGCCTCCTAGGTGGCGGTGTTGGGCCACAGAGGTTGAACCCTGCTGGGAGCTACAATCGGGGGTGATGCCGGTGTCGAGGGTTACAGTTGCGTATTCAATGGCTGTGGTGTGCATATGATGGTTTCATCCATCCATGATGAAGACATTGATGAGAGCATCTGATAGTATTTGATAAAATTGCACTTCTTTCTTGTTCTTCTGGGTTTATATCCTTATGGTTAAAATGCACTTATTGTAAGTCGCTTTGGATAAGAGTGTCAGCAAAATGACATGTAATGTAATCATTTAATTCTGTAATCGACCGTCAAGCCTTTGTTTCCTTCTCAAGGTTGTGTAAAGCATTAGTCCATGCAGCTCTTGCCAATGTGCACAAAGGCAGTTAAACTACAATCCATTCCCGAGCTGATGGAGGTGATACGGCTGCAGCTTAATAGGATCAGAGGCAGGGTTAAAAGGAAAGAGGCAATACAGACAATGCATGCAGCTCAAACAATGATTTGAAGTCACTAACGAGGCTATAAAAGTCACAGTGACTTTAAATTAAGCAATTCATTTGATTGGTGCAATCATTTCAACCTGCGAGTAAAGATGTTTTTGTGGTTCTCAACCGTGACCCAAGGCTGGACTAACAACTGGGCAAAGAGGCCACTGACCCAAAGAGCTGCACTTAGTTTTATAAGGAACATTTAAAAATTAGAAGAAGCTCAGTGTAAGCACAACATAAATTGCACAATTTCCAGGCTATCTTGAACCAATGTTTGATCTAACAGTTGAAGTGAAATTCTAATTCTGCTACAAAACCACTGATAGAGTTTGTATGTCAAACAGGGGCAGCAACAATTGCCTCCATCCAGCAGACAAAATAAAAGCATTCATTTACATTCAATCTTTTTTTTTTCAAGCAAACCCAGGAGCTTGAGGCCTCAATCTCAAACACCACAAATACAATCAACAGCCTTGTATTCTCTTGATGGATACAAAATGATTCGTACTAACAATTTCAGGTCCACTTCGATGTTTATTTGTGCAGGTTATGTAGAGAATATTTTTCCCAATGCGTCCTTGTATCTTATCCGCACATGACCTGGATGACGGAAGGCTTGCATTTATACTGACACTGTAACTACTCACATATACATGATACTGTATGGAATTATCAATAAGTCTCATGATCTGTAATACCGTTTTTTTCCTGCCTAAATATCAGCAATGTATGAATCTGGTTCTCTAGGTCAGAGGTCACCCCCAAACTGATGGCGAGATGGAGCAGGGACCCCGTATTCTACAGAGTTTGGTCCGCCATGTTTTATTTTTGAGCTTCGCGCTCTTTAGACGTGAGCATGAACGCGATCTGATTGGCTGGTGCCTTCGATGTCGTATCAGCATGAAAGGAGCTGTGAGTGAACCGGTGCCCAGCTTGACAGAGCTCCATGTGGGTAGATGAGTGTGTGTCTTGAAGATATCGTCTTCTCCATCAATCCGTTCGCCACAATATGTTGGAATTACGTTAATGTGTATTTAAAGACACTAAATACATCATCAACACGTCGACAACATGTCTACCGCCACGGTTCCATTCCAACCACAGTTCACCAAGCCTCTTTCCTCAGATCAAGACATTGGCCAATTTGTCGATCGATTCCTGCCATAGCAAATCCCGGAGCGCTCCCAGATGCACTCCCACCACGGGTTGGGGGGGGGGCCCTGCCGCAATGACTGGTACGACCATTAGAGATGGTTACGCCTGTCTACCTCACCCCGATGTGATACATGATCCATGGCGGGAGCCTCGGATGTGAGGACAGAATCTGCTCTGAGGGCTGACAGGACAGACCGAGGGGGCCGGCAGACCCTTCCCCAGGGAGCAGACGACTCCAGACGGCAGCTATGATGATGATTGAGTTTGCCCGTGTTGAGATGACATGGAGTGAAATTAGCGTTTATTTATCTCCTGCGGAATGTGTCATATGGACTCTAATTTTAGCTCTGCTATTGTCTCTACCTGACTCCTACGCTGCCATATTCTCCTACGTGTTTACATGCGGGTTTATTAAGTTTTTAACGTACCGCTTTACTGCCGCCGAGGGGAGGAAGGGAAGAAATATCACAAAACAAACCAAGCTGTACTCGTCAAGTCAGCAACAAGGCAACGTTGTTCATTATTTCTGACCTTGTGGAGCAAAGATAAGGAGTTATCCATCGTGGCCTCTGTGACCTGAGGGCTCCATTGTAGCATCACACAATATACTCGCCGTTTACATCCAACAGCACACAAAAGCAATGCCGAGGAAACCAATTTCCTCTTACCTTCACAAAATGAATCTCATTCATCTTCCTCGGTGCACCTTCATTAAGGCAGGCGAGAGCTGAGAGGAGAGACATTATTAAGCTGTCCTCAGCCCCCGCGTCTGTGCTGTACAGATAGGAACCCAGCAGGATTTAAACAATTGAATTCTTGGTTGACTTGTATTTTTTTTTTTTTTTTTTCCAACACAAGGACTTTCCCCTCACAAGTCTGTTACGCTAAGCTTTCACATGTCAGAGGAATTTCTTCACACCGACTCATAGTAAACCCCCGGCTGTCCTTAAGCTCGTCCATCTGTCCTCATTCATTGATGCAGAGGCGCGGAGCTCGTCCCCCCGTCACATCGTTACTAGAAAGGAGACACCACGGCAAGCATTTAAGTGAACAAATATTTGTATGCACATTACACCAATTCTCAAATCCTACTGCTCACATATAAATCACTGCATGGTTTAGGGCCAAAGTATATCACTGATATGCTTCCACTACATGAGCCTTCAAGATCACTAAGATCTTCTGACACCATCTGTTAGTGATTCCCAGAGTAAATACAAATCATGGGAAAGCATCATTTAGTTACTACGCAACAAACAGCTGGAATAAACTTCCTGAAGATTTAAGACTTGCCCCAACTCTGACCACGTTTAAAACAAGACTGAAAACCTTTATGTTCAGCTTCGCCTTCTGCTAAGTTTTGCCTACATTGCACTTTTAACCTCCGCCTTTAATTAACAATTTAAATAATAATTTAAATAATTTTATTTGCTGTTTTTAATTGTCTTTAAATTCCTGCATTTTATTTTCACTTTATTGTATGAAATGTTATGATGTGAAGCACTTTGAGTCTGCCTTGTGTATGAAAAGCGCTTGCCTTGCCTATGCTTAAACAGAGGACTGCCTGTCCAAGCACAAGCAAAGCAGTGGGAGGAGCTGTGGGTAGTTATGGAAAAACAGATCAGTGTCGGGCCTCTCATGTCACCTTGCTTTTGTAGTTTTTCCTCAATGCATTTGAACGGCGTTCACGTGCGATTGCAGCGAATTTTGAGGAAACATCTTCGCACTGGTTCAAGCATAGTACGAGGTTACTTAATTATGATACTAATGTAAAGTAAAGGACTTGTATGATAAAGTGTTCCTCAGTCTTTAATCACTGGTACGGTCAAAACAACCACAACTCAAAACTTAATTTGAGTTATAAATTTAAGCAAAACACGCGACGGACAAAAGCATGAAATAATAAGTCATGGCGTCTGCTTATAAAGTCTTTGGGATGGAAATGTATTTGATTGGCATTAAATGCTCCATTGAAATCCCATTAAGCGCTTTTTAAAACAAGGTGGCTTAAAGTGTAAAAATATTGCAATGAACATTATCAACTTCCGTACATCCAGAAAATGTGCCGCTGTTGGAAAAACTCAAATAAGGTCCATTCTTGTTGCAGAGAGTTTGTGACCTTTCGAAGTGATACGTAGCGTTTTGGGACAAACAGATGTCCAGCATGATTTGTAAAGTAGGACCTGAATATTTTACCAAGAATTGATTTCAGTTGAATTGCGTAAATATAAACAACCTGATGACCTGCTTGCGTTCTCTTTTCTCTTTTTCTGCTTCTGTCTCTGCTGCCAAAAGCTCTTTCTACCAATCTAGAATTGAGTCCTCATTTTATTACTCCAAAAAACATGTTTCTATCTTCTCCTCGAAGCCCCCCCCTCCCCCCCCCCTTCTTCCGGGAGACTTTGTCAGCTATCTTTTTGGTAAAATAGCTGACATACGCTCCTCTTTCTCAAATCAATCTCCTACTTCTTGCGTCCCACCGACTTCACCTCTATCGCCCTCTCTTCCCTCTTTCACCCCCTTGTCTCCTAACCAAGTTCTTACCTTAGTAACCTCTGCCCGTCCGACCGCCTGCCCTCTTGACCCCATTCCACCCAATCTTCTACAATCTATCGCTCCTGACCTTCCCTTCCTCACCTGTCTCATTAACACTTCTGTTATCTGGCTGTTTTCCCAATTCTCTGAAGGAGGCAAAAGTTAACCCTCTTCTAAATAAACCCACCCTCAACCCTTCTGAAGAACACAACTACCTTACAGGTCATTTAGCAGACACTTTTATCCAAAGCGACTTACATTATACTGTAAACCCATGGCTTTTTAAATATTTTGCCCGGGGAGCAATTAGGAGTTAGGTGTCTTGCTCAGGGACACTTCGACTTGAGACATGGGGCAGCCGGGACTTGAACCACCAACCTTGCCGTTCCCATCACTCACGCTCTACCCCCTGCGCCACGACGACCCCAACTACAGACCAGTCTCTCTTCTTCCTTTTCTCTCCAAAACTCTTGAACGCACGATCTTTAACCACGTCTCCGCTTATCCTCACAGTAACAACCACCAGTCAGGCTTCAAGGCCATTCCACAGAGACTGCTCTACACTGCTAGAGCCGCCGCTCTCTCCTCTCCCTTCTGGACCGCTCTGCTGCATTTGACACAACCACCAGATCCTTATTTCCTCCGAAACTTGGGTGTCTCAGGCTCTGCTCTCTCCCTTCTCTCGTCCTACCTCGAACGACGCACCTACCGGGTAACCTGAAGAGGATCTGTGTCGGAACCTTGTCCTCTTACTACTGGAGTTCCTCAGGGTTCCGTCCTGGGTCCCCTTCTCGCTCTACACCAATTCTCTCAGCGCTGTCATTCGCTCGCATGGCTTCTCCTACCACAGCTACGCAGATGACAAGCAACTAATTCTCTCCTTCCCTCACTCGGACACCCAAGTGGCAGCACGGATCTCTGCCTGTCTGACTGACATCTCTCGTGGATGTTCGCCCACCATCTGAAAATCAACCCCAACAAGGCTGAACTACTTCTCTTTCCGGGAAAAGATTCTCCTACAGAGAACCTGACTGTTATATTTGGCAACTCTGTGTTAACGCCCACTGTGACGGCTATGAACCTCGGCGTGACACTCGACAGTCACCTCTCCCTGACTCCCAACATTACAGTGACAACACGATCCTGTAGATACCCCAACCCCTGAGGAGGGGGGCACAGATGTTTGTCACCTTATACTATAGAACCCCAAGCTTGAGAAAGATAGCCTTGATGCATCACTTGAACGTGTTTCAACTCTGGTCCATGCTTGCAAGCATTTAATAAATGTTCAATTATTTTACAGCGGTGTCAGGTAAAGTTTTTCAAAACACCCAGTCCTGCTTTTTTGCAAAAGTCCCATAGAATTTAATTTAGCTTGACTTCTTTCTCCCAGGCTGTACTTTCTGATGTTGGAACAGAATCAGCAATAGAACGTAACATGCAAATCCAACACTGCAATAATGAAAGCCACAACACATGAGTCCTGCGTGCATTTAACAACTGTCTGAGCCGCACTCAGGCATGACAGACCGCTGGCACCGTGTAACGTCCTGATGATTCCTTTCCAGAGCGCCGGAAAATAACGTCAGAATGCATGAATCATAATTAATGGAACCAGTTTTGTTTGAATCCTCGCGAAGCCCATTACCGGTAAAAATGTCAGTATTCACACTTTGTGATGCCTTCTCAAAATACATTAATAAAATTATATACATAAAATGCATTACTCAGAAATCTCTTAAGATAAAATTACAAAATTCCCACTATGCTGTTGTGTTTAGTAGCACTGAAAAGAAATGACAGTACAATTCCAAAAACACCATACAAGGTTTTACGCAATAAATAAAATACCTTAATAAAAACACAGATGCAGCCCATTGCAGACTGTATGAAATTTATTCCATTGGTAGTAATATACAATAATTATAAATCTGGTTTGTTTCAGATACGTTTGTACTGTAGCTCTAATACGAGCTTTAACTGGGCTCACAGACAGGAAAGGTGGGGGATAAATGAGGTAAAGAAAAATAAAAAAACAGGTCCTGCTGAGTTTACTTTCTATAAATGTTAAAACAAAAATGTTGAGGAAAGAAAAAAAGGTTTTACCTAAAACCTGCACATTTCCAGGGCCCAAATATCAGTGTAAGGTTTCCAGATGCAGAGGCTGATCTTACACATACAACTGGTTTCAGTTTAGCTCCAGCGTACTCTATTCGTAAGGTGTTTAATTATGTCACATTGAACATAAATCGCCTGTCTTTTCTCCACTGAAAGAAAAGTAAAATGTAACACATCCTGCTTGACGGAGGTGAAAAGGCCTCCCAGCTCACTCCTTCCTGCGCTTCTTGTCGTGGTAGTCGTCCTTGGAGCGGCTGCTGGTGGACGGCCTTTTGGAGCCGCCGTGCTGCTTGGCCTCCTCCAAGAACTTGTCCAGCCCGAAGGGATCCTCCTCAAACTGGACCGGCCCTTCTCGCCCGCGCCCGTGGTCGGTACCAGAGAACTCTTTGTCCGGAACAAACCTGCCAGTGAAACAGAAAGACTATTACAAGTGTGCAACAAGTTCAGTTTCTCTCACTGTCTCCTGAAAGCAGGCGGGAGGACACTGGTTTGAAACGGCAAGCTGATTGAACAAGAAGCAACTTGCTAGCTGTAAGTAAGTGAAAATATAAAAAACACTTACCCACATGGATTATGTATTATAAAGTACTTTGGATGAGCTTAACATTAACCTTATGAATAGGATTAATATTGCAGCTACTCCATCAATATAGAAGGTATAAGGTTTCTAAAAACAAAATAAGATGGGAGCAAACTTTGTATTGACTTTCTTTCAGATGCCTTTTCTCTCTGATAATTTGTTATTTTTGCTTCGTCATTGCTCACTGAAAACATGAACTATCCAACTCAGCTGGAACGACTGTTGTTATAATACCCTCCCCGAAGCTGTAAGCCACGGGGGAAACACTGAAATGTATACATGATTTATTGAAATCAAATCTCCTGAAAGTACCTGTTCTTCTCCATGAGGGATTCCAAGTTATCTGTGTAGGCGTCCTTGTCCACGTTCTTGCTGGGCCGGTAGATGTTAGAGGCCATGTCTCTGCTGCCGCGGAACGGCTGGTCGTACACGTTGTAGGTCTCATCCTCGCCGCCTGCAAAACCGCTATCCATACCCTGGGAGAGAGATGCAAGTTCACGACCATGTATGAATAAAACCTATTGATGGGTTTGAACCCACGGAAGTGATGAGTGTCTTCCTTGATCTGTTATTAAAGGAGACATTCTGCCCTTTTACCACAAGTTGAATTGCTTCTTTGCAGTGTGACTGAAATGTCTAAAACATACTGTGGTTCATTATTATTATTATTATTATTAGGGGCACCCTTTTCAGGCGGCCTAAAGCACCTCTGCTCAAAACTTGTTTAAGGTTTCCTCATGTTCAAACGCCTAAGGAGTGAAAAGGGTGATTAGTCAAGTCTATACTGATTAGATTCAGAGATTGTGCCGAAACACGTACCGTAATAATAAATCATACACTATTGGCGGTAACTTTAATTTGGAGTGAAAGGATGAAAAGTTGGAGGGAAAATGACATCAACGCTGATTGGCCACGGCTGTACGCTTCAGCTCTAAACAATTCATGTGGATGAAATATTGATTTCAAAACGCCAAATTTAGCTGAAAAGCGACACGTTTGCACGTTGCAGGGCTTTTATGTGTTTGGAAGTTGTTTCTAACCTTGCTCTGATTGAAGAGCCGCTGGTCGTACTGGGCCTCACCGGCAGAGCGAGGATTGGGAACGCCCAGAGCGATGAGCTCGCTGATGTCCCTGTCCTGGTCCCTCTGCAGCTTTGACCTGGGACGGAGAGCAAAGTCAGAAATTAAGCGCATGCTGAGCACGAGCAAGAAGGACATCAAAACAGAAACGGATTTCCAATATAAATATTTGGTTTCCAGAGCAAGTTAAATGTAGTATAATGAGATATTTGGAAAGCATCAGTAACATTTGGACCATCCTTCAAAAAAAGAACACCTCAGAGTTCAATCAAAGTTAATTATGAAAAAGTGTGGAATCGTGATGAAATGAGCGTCACATCCTCCAGCAGGGACACGCTACGCCATCAATTGGCAACTTGACAGCGCGCGCACACAAATTCACGTGCGCTGTGTTAAAGTGTGTCCAGCACCTCTTATCAGGAGCCGCCCTGGAAATGTTCCTGTCGTGCTGCCGCTCTTTCCTTCTGTCGTGGCGGATCTCATCACGCTCCCTGACCTCGCTGTCCTCGCCACCTGTCACGTGAGATAGAAAGAGGGAGTTTTTTTTAAATGGAATAAATCCACATGATGAGAAGATTGGGAAAGCGATGATGTGAAATGGTGCATAAACGCAGAGGTGAATGTAAAGAGTGAGGTGGATGAGAAGGATGCTGGGAACAGACGTATGGAAAGCGAAGAGATCCCAGGCAGCCGATTGATGAAGAGCAAACATGAGGTGAAAAGACACACAGGGGACAGACATTTGGATCCATAACAAAGGCTTTAAATTCTTATTTAATGTCTTTTGAATTACTATGAGGATGAATAATAAAAGACATCCAACACTGATTTCTCTTCTGAAAACACTGATGCTGAACTGCTGAATCATCAGCAGGGAAGCAGAAACATTTCACAGCTCAACGGTCCCGTCAACACCGGAAGGATACAACATTGTGTGACAGATTTGGAACGTGGCAACAGCTCCACTAGTTTAGAAAACCACACCTGCTACTCACACACACTTGTTGTTAGTGATCGCCAGGACTCACCTTTGTCCCCATGACTCTTGATTCCTGCCCTGCGGTCTCTGGCCATTTGGGCCAGTTCCCTCAGCTTCTCCTCCTTCTTCTCCTTCTCCTTCTGTGCCATCTTCTTCTCCACCTGGGCTCTCATCTCCACTGCCTCTCTGGCCTACGGAAACAATCCACATTTTAAATGCAGGGTAAAAAGGGGAATGCATTGCATTCTGGAGCACATTGGACAGGTGGAATACCTTTCTATCTGCGATGTAGAGCGCCTCGGCCAGCTTAGCAAAGTTTTCGTTGATGTGAACAGTTTGCAACCCCCTGCCATCAGCAGCCAGACGTTTATCAAGCGGAATGGTGTAGCCCTGAAACATCAAGCATACAGAGCAATGAAATTGGAATCACATGGTGGTGCATTGCGTACATATTTTCATTGCTCATCAATGACAGTGGCAGCTGGGACATGGCTTTTAAAAAATATATTCAAAATACTTTACAAATAGTCAGTATTTGAGTAACTGACTAACAACTGAACGCAGATCAGCCTGACCTCACAATCAGGCAGGCGTGAGAGGGAAGCTGCACATACAAAGCTCCTGTAGAGACTTCTACACCGGGAAGGTTTAGCCAGCTGGAGGCAGTCGTGCTAACGCCATATTTTGCTTCCTATGCTCGCTTTTTAAACCCAGCGTGGACAGATATGGGAGTAAGGGACAGGAGGCACGATAGAGAACACCGGACACACACGGATAACTCAAGCTCGCTGTGTAGCAATGTTAACGTTCCCTGACTGACACAAGCCGTGAGGAAACAGACACAATTTAGCCAAAGTAGTTTTGTGGGGCTTTTTACTTGTTTTTTTCCTCAACACACGGAATAAACTGGGTTATAGTTATTATAAGTTTGTAATATTATTATTATATATATTTGTATTATAGACTGACTTTATTTTTTTTAATTGGTGGTGTCACATTACCTTGGCGTTTTTCCAGTTGGAGATGCAAGGAGGAATCTTCCATTCCTGCTGCTCCTTAACTGTCATCTACAGGAAACAACCAGCAAACACAATTCAATTATGTTCAATTCATCCCAATAGTAGTGAAACGTGTAGCGTAACATTCGTTTGCCCCCTGTACCTTTCTGCTGGGGGAATGCATGACAGGGGCGGGGGGAGAAGGAGGTCCTCGAGGAATCTTCTTGTTAATCCTGAAAAATATAATCATCGTATTACACAACGGCCTCAAGTGGGAATTAGAAAAATTCTATTAATTCTAATAGTTACGGGTTTAGGAGGAAGTGTTTCTCTTTTCTAGTCTTCTGACCCCTTACAGCTCTTTAACACTACATACCCATCACACGCTGATGAGAGGACAACGGTTCCACCTCCACATCAGTAACTAACGTTAACACAGTGTAGTCACAGCTACGGGAGCTATTAGGGTGTCGTCTTGCCAAAGGAAACTGAGGATTTAACTGCTCTACATAGAGCGAGTGATGTGTTTGGCGTGTTTCATTTGGTGGGTGGAGTCCTGTGGACCAGCAGGTGGGTCTTCCAGTTCAGACATTTCATTTGTACTCCGATTTTTCGGTTAACCTCATAATATGTTGCTAATTTTAGCATAGAGCTAAAAAGCTTTTCCAGATGTAAATGGAGTTTTCTGTGCTCTGGTTTCACAACCTGTTTAATCAAAATCTATCAAACCAGTATTTGAATACGGCTTTACGCTTGTTTTTTGTTGTTTACTCACTTGAAACGTGGAGGTTCCATTGGATCTTTTTGCATTTCCACCATGCGGATCACCCTCTGTTTGGCCCCAGAGTTAAAAGCCACTCCCTGCTGGGACGGCGTGTATCTTTGGGAGAGAAAAAGTGGGAGACGGGGACACACACAGACAAAGAGTTTGATAACATTTAGCTTCATAAGTGGCAGTCTACCTCATCCCTGCCTTCACTCCAACACGTCAACAAAGCTTTGCACGACAGCCCAATACTACTATTGTTGTTTACAGAGTTCATACCTCACTATCTGTGACGGCACGAATATGATTAAAACTATTAATGCACCACAAAAACAAAAAGTTTAATCAAAGTTATGTAATTATTGGCTTTTTTGTGCAGTTATCAAAACTCAAAATCAGCTATCAACCCTGGTTTAGTTGAGGTATTTGACAGGCCCACACTTATTAAATATTGTACAAGTAAGTTTGAGCTCGTCCTGATTCAATACACACCTGATGTACTGCGCAGGAGCTTGTTTGTCTGCAGCTCTTACAGGCATGGCAGCAGCAATCTTTTGAGACACCTGCTTGTCCAGCGCACTGCGGGTCTTCTCCGTCAGCTACAAAAAAAAACACAGAATGACGACCACATTTAAAAATCATATATGATCGGAGTAGTCCAATAAATATTCCCATGAAGAACATGATCCATCGCATCCTGCTTGAAACTCAAGTTTTCCCCAAAATACACATTGCAGCATGGCTTACCTCTTTAATGGCCTCCTCGTCGGGCTTCTGTAGCTCTGGAGTGTCGTCATTAAGGACTTCCTTGGGTAGAAGGTCGGTGTACTTACTGAATATCACCTGCAAAAGTGAAAGACGAGAAATGACTAGAAATAACTAACTCATGAAGCAAACACACTTTTATAAAACGCGTGAAGATGACATGCACCACGGCAATGAATTGCTTTGACGATGTGCATCATGGTGTGTTTTTAGTCCATGAATGGACTCCAAGTAGGTGATTAATAAAATTAATAGTACTGCAGGAATGAAGTTTGCATTTCTAATTCCGTAGATTTCTTATTGAGTTTTTTTAGCTATTAAATACGTCCAATTTTAATGCCCCTCCTTGTTGATCTAAACTACAAACTGACTGTTTGACCGAAAGATTTGATATTTTCCAAATGGAAAATGCTACGGCAGTGAGAGTTATTGCTCCAGCCTGTCGCTTCTTCATTCCAGCACATTTTCTTTTATCTTCGATCTTCTTTATTGCCATCAAATTGCCCAAGGGACGAGAGCCGAGATGTGAGTTACGCCAACACCACTAGGAACGTGGCAACTACTTTATCCAGCCTGCTCCTGGATGCCGGATATTGGTGAATTTGAAGGAGGAAGAAAAATAAATGATCCTTTAAAACCGTTATTCATTTTCTAAAAATGTGTTATACCTTATCCTTGCCCTGTCCTTGTCTGGCAATGGCGTCATATTTGATCTTTCCCTCTGCGTCCACCTGTACAGCCAGGGCATTGGAGGTCTTCTTCTTCCTTCCCATCTCCAGAGGAAACTGGGCAACGTGGATCTCCGGGAAAGCTCCCCCATCTCCGAAATCCTACACAAACAAAACATTTACAGCAGGACTTCGACAGACTGCGGACTTAGTTCTGAAGGTGTGGGGCTCCCACGGACCCCCCCCTCAACCACCACCGAACAAACCAACAATCGGAACTTTTCAATGGGTAAATACTGAAGACTGACGTACCTCAAGGGAGCGGGGCACCCAGCCCTTTCTGGTCTCATACAGCGGCGGCTCCTTGCGAGACGAAACCAGGGCGGTGGAGTAGGACTTCTGGGCGCGGAGCTTCTCCTCTGCCTCCAGCTGGTCCTGGGACAGCTGGGTCGGCGCCGGCAAGAAACTGCACAAGCATTAACGAAGGTTTAGGTTCGGTCGAGCGACCCCAGCTCGGGTTAGCCAGCAGAGCCACCGAGCGACGTTACTCTCAGTTTAGGTGTTAAAACGGGAATTCAGCTGGCGAACCACCGGGCAGTTGTTACGATGCCCACTAACCACACTTAAGAGTGTAGTTAGCTCATCACCAGTTAACCGTTGATAAACGCGTGTTGTTGTTCGTGGCTGCGTGCTGTTAAGCTAACTAGCTAACGCTAGCTTACCACATACAGTAGCATTAGCTGATACCATTAGCTTCGATACAAACGAAATGAAAGCGACTTAAGCAAAAACATTGGTGTACAATATTAGAAGGAACATAAACTTCGCACAACGTTAAGTGACAACAGGAACAACATCTTATGCAATTGTATTAAATAAAACAGCGAAGGCCTGGTCGCGGTCCTCACCTCGTCAGAGACATTTTCCCCCTTTCTTCCTTAGCTGTGAACTGCGCATGCGCGGAGCTTGGCTTGAAGCGACTGTCATAGGTGGACGCGTCAATGTTTGGTTATATAGGCTGTTTAGGAAGATATTTGTCTTCCTGGCATGCTTTTCTATTCTCTTTCAGTTTAAGTTAGGGGAAATACAGAAGACATTGCTTTCTGTCTTTCTTTTTTATAAGGCAAGCATGAATTACGTGAAATTTAGCTTTAAACTTGTAACGTAACACATATGACTCTACAGTTTATTTAAATAATATACTACATAATAACAACAACACTATGATATTAACAACACTTTGGTATTAAGACTACCTATACCTACCTATAGACCATCTATAGTTATAGAATAATTTAATTCCCCACCAAAACCAATAACAAGGCCCTCAAACTATTTTATTATAACCCAAAGTGATGTTTGATGTTTTCAGTCAAGATGTATTTATTTGTGTGTTTCAAACAGAGGCTGCTTTGGATGATTGTAACATCTATACTAGAAACTAAAACAAGAAAATGCACCTTTGTAGGATCTATTATACTAACATTGTTGTCGTTATCTGACCAGCTTTTTAAAATGTTCTCAAGCACATCAAACTCTGCCACTGAGAACAACGAGTGTAACACTTTTCATGCCACTTCCTACTTCTACCCCTCTATATCTATATATAGGAGAACATAGAAGAGGACATATGAATGAGTTTGATTTTAACTTTTTTTCCCAATGCAAAACTTTAAGATGGAACAGAGTTTTTAATGGTGAACTATCAATACTTTTCTTTTCTAAAGAATCAGTAGACTTCCTCTTCAACTGATTCATATAAAATAGGTTTTTTTTTGTTGTTTAATGAAACCTAGAACCTTTTTATTATTAACTACAATGTATTGCCCATTTGAAATGTCTAAACAGCATGAATCTTGTTGCTCTTCGACGAGCTTTTACTCATGCATGTGGGTACAAATAATAAGGTCACAGAACCAGCCGATCATAAAGTTGTTGCACCCAATTTTACTGTAGATGTACTGACAGGTCTATATCTCATTTGTATTCATACTGGATGGAAGAAACACATAAACGGGTACTGAGGTAAACATTTAATTCCGGGCTGTTGTGTTACATCACACTGTATTAACTTTATAAAGGTTTAACACAGTAACAATAATGAATAGGTCTACGCTCCACATACACACCTCATAGTATCCTTTTTACATCACAATACTGGCTCACTGAGTTACTCACTGAATTACTCTTCCTGTATTTGTCTTGACTTTTACCAACTCATTCAATGCACCACCCGTTTGTGGTGCCAGGGGGGAGGTGTACTCCCGCCAGACTGTCCCACAAAAAAATATAGTGATTACTGAGGCTACATACCATAAGATAGATGACCTCATCAGTCCTTAACCTCATAGTATTTTATAGCTATGATATATATCCTAAATACTTTGTTTATTATTATTACATTTCAGAGTCCCTTTAACGCTGATGTCCTGCTGCCGGTTTAGAGTCTTGATGACGGTCCGGGTCTCCTCATGTCCTTTAATTAAACATTGTTAGTTTTAATGCACAATGATAGACAGTACAACAAGCCTGCACACCATGGATACAGACAATATGTTAAAGTTCAATTTAAACAGTTATGAATCTAAACTCTGCCCTTAAACAAACGTAACGTTACCGGTGAAGAGTCCGAAAACTGTAATGAACACTCAAGCCTAGTTATAGTACAATTTGTTGTTGTACATCGAAATTTAATTTGATGGCCCCAAGCTGGACAACAGAAGCGAACAACATAAACAATGTACAAAATAAAAATACACAGGAGGAATAAAATAAGGGAAACATTACAAAAATACAAAAAAGCAATAAAAACGTTGCTGAAGTACAAATAAGATCAAATGTGTGCGTTTGTGTCTTTTCTCTGCAAACCTCCTATCAACTCCTACACTTATACTATACTATACTTATGTATGTATATTGCAACGTCTTCGGGCAGTCTCAGCCACACTGTCAAAATGTCTTGCAAAATGGTCCTTAACCTTTAACATTGACCTTAACGCAGAGGAGAGTGCTAGTTCCTTCTTATGGAGTTCAGACAGAGACGGGGCCAAACAAGGTCGGCTGAAGGTTTTAAGCACAGCTTATGAGAGCCAAATAAACTGCCAGCAGAGCAAATGATGCCTTAAATGTAGAGGAAGTGGAGCAGCTACGTATGAGAGTCCCGAGGAGGGGAAAGGGGGGGTTATGTTGCACGGCGCAGCGTTGGGTTACAGATTTCTTTGTGTAGCAGTATTTTCTCAGTCTGATTTAGTTTAGACTGGGTTTATTATTTGAAAGAAATGCCTTCATTTGACTGATGGGCATAATTAGGTGATTGGAATGGATGATTAGGTCTGCAGCAGAACAGATCGTTTATGCAGTGACGCAAACAGCACAAATACATCATGAGGTCTTTAATCTCTGTTAGATGGTGTGAATCATGTGTTAAGGGCTTTCTTTCGTCTACAATCAAATAGCTAAACTCAGCAATATATTAGCCACATTGAAAATAATGTAAGGACTGGGAAGCCATCTTAATGTTTAATGGCATATTTCCCTCTTTTGAAAAATGAAAGGATGCACCTGTGGTTTGTAAGCAATGTGTTTATCACCACTTTGCTTAATGAATGAAGAAGGAACCATGTCATACTTGTGTTTATATTGCAGTGCACAGTTCAAATATGCACCAGTAGATGACAGCACCACTCAAAGATGGCGTGCCAGTGACAACAAGGATACTTGCAGGGGTTTCCACTAGGAGCTCTGTTTCACTAGACCTCTCAAAGGGCAAGATTATGCTGTGTCTTTAAGGGTGACTATGTTTTGTCCACAAGTGTGCTTGAATAACATGATATGTGAAGCCATAGTAGAGGGTGGGAGAGGGAGGATGCAGCCGCTACAAGGGCCTTTTTACATCACAATACTGGCTCACTGAGTTACTCTTCCTGTATTTGTCTTGACTTTTACCAACTCATTCAATGCACCACCCGTTTGTGGTGCCAGGGGGGAGGTGTACTCCCGCCAGACCGTCCCACGATTTGCAGAGGAACTTTTCACTTTCTAATTAAAGCAATATCGCTTTGTCATACGGAGCGAGCTTGTTGTTGAAGGGACCAAGCGGAGCTAATTAAAATGCTTTCAGCACTCATCGACAGGCCATTTTCTGCAATTACTCGGCCTGCTGTGTGAGTTCAAATAAACAAGTAAGCAGAGCTGCTCTCCGATAAACCCCATTACATGCTGCGTTCATGCCTTGGTGCACAGAGTGTTGGTGCTCAGCGCCTCAGTGCTGATGTGACCTTGGGAAGGGGAGACACAGGCGGTGCTAGCGGGAGCAGCAGCGCACAGGGCTAATCTCCAGAGCTTGCCGCTCGATGAAGGGTGCTGATAGTGAGCAGCAGCGTCTCCGGCAGTCGAGATATGCATCGCTCCAGATTTGAGAAAGAGCCCTCAAAGTGAAGCAAAGGATTTGATCGGCAAGTTTAAGGCTGTTCCCGGAAGGCTACACAATTAATTTAGAGAAAAATGCTTTGGAAATGTGGTGACACTGCATTCAGGGCTGAAAGCTGCACAATGGATTTGTTTGGTGGGGGTGTAACAAGAGTAAGTAATCAGGGAATTGAGCATTTCTGAACATGTGGCGTGTTTTATAAAGAGACCACCTCATTTTACAGTGAGGGTGTGTTAGTTTGATTTGAGGGGTCAGTGGTCATCGATTTTAGGCATCTTCCTCCTCAATTGCACTTCCAATATACATAAAACTAACGCACCATTGGTACTCTGAGTTTGGAAATGGTCCTCATTATCAGAATGAGCTCCAGCGAGGGTAATTGATAGACCGCTGCATCGTCCACAGAAGCAAGATGACATGTTTTGGTGGTGGGTGCTGTGATAGGGCCCTTCTAACCTAACTGCTTTTGACAGGTAATGGAGACAGGAGGTACGATGTGCAGCTGTGCCCTGCACATACCTGGTAGCAGATCAGCTGGCAGTGTCTCCTCAGGAAAAAGGGACACAGCTGCAACATTCAGAGTTTGTTTCACCTTGTAGAATGGGTATTTAATGATATAATGTTGGCACACCTTGGTATTATTATTAGTCCAAAACTTTTATGTTGACTGACTATTTAAAGAAATGCATGTGCCAAAAATGTGGCAGAGAAAATATCCCCCTTTTCTTTCTTGCAGAGAGGAAGATAAGAAGATAGATACTGTAGGATATTAGAAATAAACTGACCACCCGGTTCATAAATTAATAAAATCCATATACACCAGAATACATCCATGATTCTGAAACTGTGTAATCAATAAAGTAATGACAATATTGTAAAACCACTGTAATATTGAAACTGTAATCAATAGAATAATATCAATGTACAGTTATAGTTGAATTTAATGTAATGTAATCAACTGGAATGCATGCATGTAATTCTTGACCACACCACAACTGATATTGACTGAGGGTCATACAAAATCCGAGTTACATTGAACTCACCAGAAGACCACTCCCAGAGGTGTGGACACTAACTTTCACACAACCATTGTTCTGGAGTTCGCTGGTGGAGGCAACAGACGGGCACTGTGGCCTGTTGGTTACAGAGACCAGCGGCTCCTCAGCTGACATGTTCTTTTTACCACAAGACCCTTCTTATTAAATACTATTGCACCGTTCATTCTTCTTCTTCAAGTGGGGGTTCGCGTCCTGTTTTTTCTTCCCTAGTTGTTCTTAGAAGTCCTTCTCTGGGTAGGGCCCTTCTTGCGGGTTGTTTGCCTTGCAAATGCTTCCGCACATCGAATTGAGCCCTCAAGCCTTTTGATCGCGAGTAGCTTTCTGTCAGCCTTGGACATGCCAAGTTCCTCCAGCAACTGATCTGTTTGGCCGTGTAATGTGCCTCTCCACGTCAGTACCACCGCTCCGAACCTTATTGCTGTGGGGTTCACATTCAATCCATGTCCTAATGTCCTTCTGGTCCTTCTTGGATGTTAAACTGCATTTCGTTGCCTCAGTACTTGTACCCTG